GCCAAACTGGGAGGGGACAACACGGGAAGAGAACTAACCATGGGTCGAGAGGCGCTAGGTGAAATGAATGAGAATGGAGAATTGTTTGCAGAATTCTGCGCATTCAACGATTTGGTGATTGGAGGCAGTGTGTTCAGGCACAAGGATATCCACAAAGCGACATGGATTTCACCAGATGGACACACTAAAAATCAAATCGACTTTATCTCAATCTCAAGAAAATGGAGACGCAGTCTACTTAACACAAGGTCAAGAAGAGGAGCAGATGTAGGTTCAGACCACTATCTAGTGCAAGGAACCTTCCAAATCAAGTTAAAAGCCTTCAAGGAAGCTGGTGATAGACCTCAATTCAAGTACAACACTCGGAAACTGAAGGATGAAACTACAAAGGAGATCTTCACGCAGCCATCAAGACAAAATGGGAGACATCGAGCGACATCCCTGAAGAAACCTGTGTGGAAGAACACTGGAAGTCTTTGAAAGCTATGTGGAAAGAAACCTGCACAACAGTATTAGGAAGGAAGAAGGAAGAAGACAAGGAATGGATCTCGACGGATACCTGGAAGCTGATAGAGGAGAGGAGGATGGTGAAGCAGAAGATAAACCAGTGCAAGGATGCTCAACGACAAGAGGAACTGAGCACAATGTATAAAACACTGGATAAAGAAGTGAAGAAGAGTGCACGCAAAGACAAAAGACACTTCTACGAAACACTGGCAAGTGAAGCAGAACAGGCTGCAGGTAAGAGAGACCTGACGACATTGTATCAAATAACCAGGTTGCTATCAGGGAAGAGACCAACACAGATGAAACCAATAAAAGATGAAGAAGGAAATTTAATTACGAAAGAAGAGAAACAGAGGAAACGATAGGCCGACCACTTCAAGAAGCTCTTGAATCGACCACCACCACACCTGCACTTCGTCCAGAAATACCACCTGCAGCCGCTGAATTACAAGTGAACATAAATCCCCCAACGAAAATGGAAGTCCTGAACGCCATAAAGCTACTGAAATGCGGGAAAGCAGCAGGACCAGATGGAATACCGCCAGAAGCACTGAGAACAGATGCAGAGACAACAGCGGACATGCTCACACCACTATTGCAGAAGGTGTGGAAGGAAGAGAAGGTACCTGACGATTGGAAGAAGGGTTACCTTGTCAAACTGCCGAAGAAGGGAGACCTCAGTGCTTGCAAGAACTGGCGCGGAATCACTCTCCTGTCCACCCAGGCAAGCAAAATATTAAGCCGCATCATCCTGGAGAGGCTTAAAGACGCACTGGATTCAAAACTGCGACCGGAACAGGCAGGCTTCAGGAAGTACAAATCATGTGCAGACCAAATTGCAACGCTTCGTATCATCATAGAACAGAGCATAGAATGGCAATCAGCTCTATACCTCAACTTCATCGACTTTGAGAAGGCCTTTGACAGCGTCGACCGAGAAGTAATTTGGAAACTGCTTCAATACTACGGAGTACCGCAAACCTTTATCCGCCTCATTCAACAACTATATGAAGATGCCACATGCCAAGTAATCCACAATGGGAAGCTCAGTGATGCCTTTGAAGTGAAGACAGGAGTGAAACAAGGTTGCCTACTATCCCCCATGATATTCCTTATTGTGGTGGACTGGATCATGCAGCAAACAGTAGGCAGCGAGAAGAGGGGGATACACTGGACGACGGAAAAGAACCTAGAAGACTTGGATTTCGCCGATGACTTATGCCTAATGTCACATAAACTTGAAGATCTGCAGGCAAAAACTAACAAGTTGATAGAAGAGGCAGCGAAGACGGGACTTCAGGTGAATATAGAGAAGACAGAAGTGATGAAGATACCGCACCACCACCATCAACAACAACAACAACAAACTGCAATCACCGTCAACGGGAGAAACTTGAAGGAAGTAACCTCCTTCACTTATCTAGGAAGCACTGTTTCAACTACAGGCGGGACGGACGAGGACGTCAAAGTCAGAATCGGAAAAGCAAGACAGGCGTTCATTAGCCTGAAACCAGTGTGGAGATCTTCTGCACTCAGCATGCGGAACAAGATACGGATTTTCAACACCAACGTCAAGTCAGTGCTCTTGTATGGCTCAGAGACTTGGCGCGTCACGAAAGGCATTTCCAATAAACTACAGACATTCATCAACAACTGCTTACGCTCGCTGCTGAAGATCAGATGGTCAGAAAAAATAAGCAACAAGGAACTCTGGGAACGAACCAACCAAGAACCTATCACGCAACAAATATGCAGGAAGAAGTGGAGATGGATTGGCCATGCACTGAGAAGGCCGACTGAGGACATCACGCGTCAGGCCCTCGAGTGGAATCCCCATGGGAAGCGACGAGTTGGACGTCCGAGGGTGACATGGAGGAGGTCGTGCGAGGAGGAAATGAGAGCTTCTGGGCTGTCGTGGAACCAGGTTCAAAAGATCTCAGAGAACAGAGGTCACTGGAGGCGTGCTACTGAAGCCCTATGTTCCACTAGGAACCCAAGGGACTAATAATAATAATAATAATAATAATAATATAATAAGCCATACTAGGAGATGTTCGCAAATCCGGTGAAGGATAGGCTTCGATGAAGGACTCATATACTTAGATCCACAACAGGACGTGAATTAAAAAACGTACACTGAACCAGTCAGTCATGGCAACTTCTCCTTCACAGGGTGACTATGATATGTTATTCTAAGGTTTGCTGCATGAAACGCCCTACGAATCGATCTTTCGACACGGTTTCTAAGATTATCATCAGCAGTATCCCCTTGAATTCTAAATTCAAGATCAATATCTTCTTCAGGACAGTGTTGGTGACTGTCAAAATGTTTTTAAGCTTCAGGCTTTTCTGAGTGAAACGCAATGGGTAATCCTATTTCATGTCTACAGAACAAATTTCATGGTCTCGTGAAAAAGTTCCAACTTTAGAAGTTCACCAACTTTCTACTTCATATTAATTTTCTGTGTGTATGGACCAGTTTAGTGTACCATCGTCTCTTCGTGTCAGTAAAACTTTTAGGAATGAAATTTTAAAATCAATTTCTCTTTCTATTATAAACTCTAGTGATGGATGACAGTGATTAAAGCGCTTCAGAATTTTTTGTGTATCGAGTATGTTGTTACATATGATGGTGTCATCAGCATATTTCCTTCATTATGTCAGATGGTTGGTCATCGATTTGAGGCAACCATTCTTGCTGCTGGTCCTAAAGAATTCATTTAGTAATGGGCTCAAAGAAGACCCCAAGATTATGCCATCTCGTTGTCAATACACCACTTCGTTAAAGCTAAATTGTACATTAAAGGTACAACTAAAGACATGCTATTTTAAATCAACAATAGATTTATAAGCGTAGAACTTGGGAAATGTCATGGAATGTAATTCCAAATTAAATTCGTTTATTTGATATATCATTGTGTGTTACACATCAAATAAGCAAATCTAATAGACACGAGTTTTCCCCAGAAAACTAAATGGATTTCGCCAACGACTTGTATCTAATGTCGCACAAACTTGAAAATCTACAGGCAAAAACTAACAGCTTGACAGAAGAGGCAAGGCAGCGAAGACGGGAATTCAAGTGAAGTGGGTGTAGAGAAGACAGAGGTGATGGAGATACCCAACCAACAACACCACCAACAACAACAAGCTACAATTAGGATGAACGGGAGAAACTTAAAGGAAGTAGCCTCCTTCACCTATCTAGGTAACACTGTTTCAACTACAGGCGCCACAGATGAGGACCTCAAAGTCAGCCAGGATCGGAAAAGCAAGACTGGCGTTCATTAGCCTGAAACCAGTGCGGAGATCTACTGCACTGCACTCAGCATAAAGCGTGAACAACATCCACATTTTCAACACCAACTTCAGTCAAGTCAGTGCTCCTGTATGGTTCAGAGATTTGGCGCGTCACGAAAGGCATTTCCAACAAACTACAGACATTCATCAACAACTGACACATACGCTGGCTCGTTACTGAAGCTCAGATGGCCAGAAGAAATAAGCAACAAGGAACTGTGGGAACTAACCAACCAAGAACCTATTGCTCAACAAATATGCGGAAAGAAATGGAGATGGACGCATTGAGAAGACCGTTTGGGGACATCATGAGCCAGGCGAGTTGCTCTAGTGGAACCCAGATTTGAAGTGACGAGTTGGGTGTCGTAGCTGAGGGTGACCTGGAGGAGATGGTGTGAGGGAGAAATGAGAGCTTGTGGGCAGTCGTGTTGCTAGGTTGAAAAGACTGCAGAGAACAGAGTGAGATGGAGACGTGCTACTGAATCCCTATGTTCCACTAGGAACCCAAGGGACAAATAATAATAATAATATATATTCACAGAGACTGTAATTAAATTCCACTCCACAGTTGCAGAATCTTTCATCTCGTCAGATATAAGTTGCCACTAACTTTGACTAAGGTTTGTTATTATTAATCCTATGTTTCCTTGACTCACTACCTAATTGTTAACCCTGGATTTCATTTCTACATATTTAATGTGTGTTATCCCTACTAATAATTCATTTCAATTATAGGCTAATTGTAGCTGTTGAAAGGCTGTTAAATAAAATCAGCTCATTTTATTCTGCAACTGTATTTGTTCTTGCATTATTCAAATCCTTTTCCAGTTTTATAAAATGTACACATCTCATTTCGGATAGAAGTAACTACTTCGCATCGAAATCACTTTAAGATATGTTTATCTAAGACCAACAAATCATATGGTTGTGTGTTAATGAGACTTGTAACCCGCGGTACAACGCATACACGAGTGTATTGCATCTCTGGCACAGAACGTCAACATATTACAGTCAAATGAATGTGTATTCGGTCAACATCTAGTCTCATAATAACTAGCTATTTAAAATACTAAAGTTTACACAATACAAATATCTTCACATAAATTCAAAAGATTTAACAAAACCCATGACTATAAAATTTTGTAAATTTTCAAATAATTTTCATAAGTCTAACTTCAACGAGAATGATATTACCGATGTGTTACATATGACCTTGAAAAGGATTAAAACAAAAACCAACTTTTTTTCAAACTTGAGTACATTAGACAAAGTAGTAACTTAACTGAACACAGCAATAAACAATTTTAAAGTTTATTACTTTTACAGCCTCTCTTACGAACATCAAACTGACTTCACTGAATTAACGAACGTTGAAAGCTGAAGAGAAAACAAACTCAGATGTTTTGTTAATCTCAATATCAAAAAGAACTAAAAAAAAAAGTGCTTCAATCGAGAACAGAAGCAGAACCAAGGATATTTTCTAGGCTATGCGAACAAGAGACTTTAACTTTCCATTAAGAATTTCTGAATATTTATTTTATTTTACTCTTTATAAGCGTTCACAGAAAAAGTATTATCATAACTCAATCAACCTGATTAGCCTCGATAAGGCAACATTTTTCTAAAAAGCATGTTCTTTAATACAGTCGAATGTAAACCAAGGCTCGTTCCTCGAACTCATATAGTGGTGTAAAGAGCTTATGTAGAGATGTTGTATAAAATGATGACAATCAGATATGTCTGTTAAGGATATGCACAATCACTATTCCTGTTCAGGTTTCTTTAAGACGTGTCTCTGGATATAACTCTAAGTAGATAGAGCTTCTCAAGTTCTGACACACTCTTTGGAGTGTGAACTTAAAGCATAGAGACAACACAGTCATGTTAAACAATGATGCTAACAAAATATAGAGTTTTCTGAACGGCTTTAGGTGAAATCTGAGTGCTTCTATTATGTTTTTCACCACTTAATGGGACGCCAGTTGACGGTAAACTGAATAGTTCAGTGAGGACTGAAAAGAATAATGACATTCATCACAGTCCTCTAAAACCTCTTCTTACGCACCCACCGACTGAAGCTGAGATGAGGTGAAGAATGAAATCTACTGGAAACTGTCAAGCATCCTAACCAAAGTCAAACATCCGGATGTGGTTGTCGTTGTATGATTACAATGCAAAGGTAGGAGTGATAAGTCAGGTACAAATGCACGTAGGTGACATTTTCGGAACAGCAATTGGACGAATAGATATCGGCAGTTGCTAAGATATTCTCAGGCAACCAATATAGTTCTTATCAACACGAACTTTAGACATAAAAAGAGACATTATCTAAAGCAGCACCCATAGACCGCAACTCAGCAGTGTGGACAAACAGACCGAATCCCCAAAAGCTATCACCGGAGAAAGTTGGTGGGAATGAAACGCTCTCGGAAAAAGTGTTTAAACAGGGGTAAGGCTTTGACTTCAGCACAGATTTCTGAGTCTGAATAGACAAAGAAAAACTATGACTCCAAGAGAAAATGGCTTGACAGTTATCAGAACACGAAAATGTCACTCAGTCGGAAGAAGCCTAGTGTCATCTCCAGTCCTTTGTAAAAGCGGCATTTGAAGACTTTAAGTGACTCTCAGGAAATGGTTAGAAAGGGTAAGTGATGCGCACGAACACTTTCTTGCAGGCTTCTAGTTCAGCGAGAGGCGGAAACAACTAAAATGTAGATTGACAAAGAGTTTAGGCAATGACCGTGAGCAGTAGAGGATGACGATAGCTAAGAAGATGTAAAGGGTAGCCGCAGCAGGTAACTGTATCGCGTAATCAAACTTATCGGGGAAACTACAACGAAAACGTGATGGTTAATGAGACTATGTAGGGAAGGATATCTCTGAAATTTTACAACAAGAGAGATGAATAAAATGACATGTGGAAAAATTTGATGCTCCCAGCTACTACTTTTTTTCCTACTATACAGTGGGATTCTGAATGGAGCACTGAAATAAGCTCTCCAACTTTTGCAGATGTGAAGAAGGCTGTAACTTGCAACAAGGAAGAGCAGAAAGGTCACATAGGCTAGTATCAGATGTAATTAAGGATGGTAATCAAGGATGATTATTTGGAATAGTTAAAGTCTTAGCTAGAGTGTGAAAATCGATATGATCCCCCTTAACTAGTTGGAATCATCGATTGCCTAAGTCTTCAAAAAAGGACAGGAATCCTCTTGTGGTAACTACAGGGTAACCATTCCGATGATCACAGTATCTTAGATTCTAGGTCCTATAATCATAAGACACCTACCTGAAGCTCGGGACCAATAAACTCGAGAAAACTATTCAGTTTTCAACCCTGCTCATGGGTGCATCGATCAGATACTCACCCTTCTCCAGGTCTTGAAAAAAACCCAGGGGCTCTCAACACTAGCTGTATTTATTGACTTGAAAGCAAAATCAGACTCCATCGATTGAAAGGTCTAACGGTAGTGCGTCATTGAAACAGGATGAAGGTTAAGTACGTCATCCTTTTAAAGGCTCTGGATTCGAACACCTGAGGAAGTGTTACAGCTTACGATTAAGTATCAGTTTAGATATGTATTCAGAATAATATTCATCAAGTATATCCACTATCTCCACTCTTAGTTAGTTTTGTCATAGACCTACTGAGGTATATGTCGCTGTCCTCATCTGACTTCAAAGCGATTGATCTCCTCACAAGAGAGTCATTAGTAAACCCAAACTACTCAGATAACGGTCCTGTTGGGTGAAGGTGCTGACAAGATTCAGTTTTCTGAACATATTGGTTGGCCATTTGAGAATGTTTGGAATACGTTTCTCACTACCCAGAACATGCTGTTGCGCCAAGACTGGTCTTCATTGGTGTACCGTCTAACGATGACAAGTGAAGTGGTTGAGCGTGCTGCTCACTTCGTGTAATTCGGAAGTCGGATCAGTCCTGGTGAGTCAGTAACCGACAAAATCTCAGAACAGATACAAAGGCTGGCTTGCTGTTCCACAACTTACTCCACTAATGGCACCATCATGATATCCAATTATCTATAAAGGGCTGAGTGTACTGCGCTGCAGTTCCATTCCCTACAATGTGACTGTAAAACATGGTCATTAAAGGTAGATGATATGAGAAGAATACAGATGGTCAACAACTGTTGTCTTCATAACAAAGACTGTGGTTGTGATACCAACACTTCGGCAACGCCAAAGTCAAGCGTAGTGTTTTGGGTAAAGGAGGTTGGTCAGTTGATGAGGCTGTGAAACTTAGCCGATTCAGTTATCTGGGACATATGTTACGCACACCTAATCACCTTCTGCTTTTATCCGGGTTGTTAGCTAAAGTAGATTCAAAATGGGAAAAGGTGTAGGTCCCTTGACTAAAACATGGCATCAGTGTGTGAAGGGGTGGACTGTTAGTGTGAGCTATGTAGGGGAATGTAGACTCCCCTGTTGAAATTCGCTTGTCAATAGAACCAATGTGTGAAAGCTCTAGGTGACATGGCTCAGAATACGTCTAAATGGTGCAGATTTCTCCTTACATTCTCTTCATTTTCATCATCACACTTAATTTCAGTACTCTCTCATTTCTCCTTGCTCTCTTTTGATGAATTTCTACCACTTTTGACTACTTCCTGTCTCGTTTCTCTACCTTTCATCTTGGCACAGTCTACTTTTGAATACTAATCGAAGTATGGAAACTTGAACCATTATTCAGTAATGCTAAGTTCAACATTGATGCTTACTGACTGACTTTTTTGCATCTGTAAGATGTTAAATGATGCTTTGAGACTAATCTGTATCAGCACCAGCGTCTAGTCTGAGAATTAGGATTGAAATGATAGATTATGTTCACTCCTTCACCAGTAAATTATTCATGAAGTAGTGTTGATAATCATCTTTTTGACCACTAATCTAGCACACTCAACCACCACACTACATTGATATGCGTTATCAGTTTTCATTGAAGCAAAGTAGAACGAACCACCCCATTCTCTTTAGTTATTGGCTATTAAACTCTGTAGCCATTACAAGTATTTACACGTGTTTGTTAATGCATTAAATTAATAAAGGTCGAGGTTTGTGAGGTTCCAGATAAAACTGACTGAAATTTATTACCTTAGCAAAAATATATATTCATTCTTTATCTAAAGCTCAACAACTGGACGATGTTCTCACTGAATTGTGAATTGAAAGAAGTCAGGAAATGTCACTCATTCGATTCTAAACTATTGGCTAAATGATAAAGTGCTACGAAACTTGACATTTCTGAGCTTGACCCTTCACCACATTATGAGTAAAAACTGCTGAAGAGAACCAAACTAGAACGAAACGTCTGGCTAGTGCTCAAAGTTTACAATGATTCTTTAACTTTCCTATTGATTGGCATTGATATCAAGAATGACAAAGGTCTCTGATATCCATATATGACGTGAAGATCCACAGATGAATCAACATAAAATCTTACACCAATATAGATTGTTCAAGATGCCACACTCGAAGAAGCATACAACAAGGGAATGGATAGAAAAAGGAATGATGCCTTCTTGAGTTACCTTTTTATAGAGCTATGCTTCTACATTTTCCAGTTCTAATGTATCTTCCATATCATCTTCATTTTTCGTCATATTCTCATCAAGTAATTCATCACGATCATTATCTTCACTATCCACCTGATTATCTTCCTAAATAAAGATAAAGGCATATCATCAAATAATAATAATTGCTAGAATTTTGTTTATCCATGAAACTGAAACTTCTCGGTCAAATATTCATTGAATTAGATACTTTCATAGAGAGATAATTAACGATCAACTCAGATCAAATTGAAGATCAGTGATAGGTTGCTAGTATGAAATGAATAGCTAATGGATTTTAGTTTTTTGTTGTCTTCAGAAGTACAAATGACCTAACCCTTCAAGGAACTGAAGTCATGCACTTCAGTTCTCAAAGTGAGCATGCTTCTGTTAAATTGATTCGACTGAATTCAATAACAATATAATAAGAATAGCTTTATTCTGAACAAGACCTGTAATACAGTATGGAATTATTAGCATGTAGTTCAACAAATTCATTCCCTGTAAAATATCTTTAAGCGAAGTAATCACTGCGATTGAATAATGCTAATAATAACAGTAATGAAATCCACAATATGAAACAGACACCTGGTATTACATTAGTGTCTTGTTTGGACTGGTAAATGAATAGAATACTGAGCGTAATTTTGGTGGTGGCACTTTATCTGGAATTCGACATAGTTATCCAAGGAATAGTAGTATACTGAATTTCTCTGGATTTATAAGCCCATCTCTTACCGGGACGTCATTTACTCTTTGTTTTGCTGTTATCTTGAAAAACCGCAGTTTAAAACCATTTTAAAAATGTGCGAGATTACTTGACGCGTTGAAAAAAATATTTATAAGATTAAAACAAATTTAAAGGGATGAATTTAATGAAATAAATTTCAGGAAAGCTTTCGGTGCCCGAAATTTAAGGAGGCCATTTTCTGCATCAACCAAAATCAACTACTTTAAAAACTGTCGTAAATTCAGTTAGTAACATCAACTGACATTAGTTTGCACGACTGAATGAGTCTTTCCCGTAGGTCTAGACTCTTCATCATAACTTCATATCATCAATCACAAAATAGGTCGCTAGTTTACTGGGTACCTTGAGTTATTTGCGCTCAGTGCTGACCACAGTTAAAAGATTATCAATAAAATTCGGTCAACAGTCAGGACTAGACAATATGAAACTGGTTACTCGTCAGTAATCAATCAGTGTTTACTGTAGTTCTACAGGAGACCACTCACGACCCAAATAGTTGAGTGGTAACATCTCTGACTGAAATAGTGAGTGGCATGACTTCAAACCTCACAGGAGACATCAGTCCCCTCAAGGTCCCAGGTATGCCTAAGTGACGATTGCCAACAGGCACGAAACCTAGGTCAGTCAGGGCTTCTTGTCGATTACCTACAACGAACTAACAAATTACCATTCACTCAGCAGGTTGGGGTCGGATGATTTACATCCTTCTACTTCTGTCAATCAGCGATATAGCGTGATCATCATCCAACACCTTGAGAGGGTATTTATTTGTTCTGATCCCATAAGTTAAGAATGACTATTAGAAGACCATATCAAAACAAGTCACTAAGGAGCTCTGTAATGTGGACGCGTATTGCAGAAGGGTCCCTATGTTTGGTTGGACCTGTCAAACTACCATGAAACTGTATTGACAGAAACCCTTACCTGTTCGTTTACATCAACACTGAAATCATTCATATCCAATGGTTCGCCAGCATCCAGCACATTTTCCGACACTTCACTTTGGTTAATATCTTCATCATCCTTTTCATCACAGGTAGTGCAATAATAACAGCAACAGCATATTTAGTCATAGATTCCGTTAAAAAGAAAAGCATTTACTTGCATATCAAGTATAAAGGAAATAACCACCTACCATTCACTCAGTTATGAAATCAGGCGTGTATTTCAAGATCAATGTAAAGCTTTAGTGAAAACCTTAACAATACCCCACTTCGTGGGGTATTTTGCTTATTTAGGTTGAATGAAAACAGAGGTTACTGATTGATACTGATTACCAATGGAATTCGAAACCCACATTTCGTCCTATTTGGGGCTCATCAGCTGAATGTAACTTCCTCTGACTGGGTGATGTTGTTCCCACTAAGACTAGAACCCAGTAGCAATCATTTCAAACGCCAGGATGCTATCCGATAGGCCAGTGTGTCACAATAGGCACTCGTTTTAAGACGAGTATAGTTTAGTCTTTGATGAATATCTTGTGCATCCTGCCGTTGACCGGACCGGATCGGTCACAGATATATCCAGCTGACGAGTCCCGAATGGGACGAAACATGCGTTCTGGATCCCACTGCTAGCCACTATTCATCAGAAATATCAAATTTGAAAATTATTAGCATCATCAAAGAATCTGTACAGGAGCTGATCAATCCGGTCCGATCAACGACAGGGATGCACAACCTATACCATCAAGGAAAATACAGGTTCCTTCTTTTCTAGAATATACCGAAATCATATCATTTTAGAAATTACTGACAAAAATGCATAAGTTTAACGAATAAAATCATTCTCCGTTAAGTGATAGATAAAGGAATTCAGAGTAAAGAAAGCTGAAAGTTAGCAGGATAATAAGAAAGGTATGTGGGGCAGGCTGATTTTTATAGAACACTTATCAACGCAATATAAAGTATCTTCAGTTTCAATAAATGTTCACCTCTTGATATCACACTAAAATGTTGACCAGTTTGCACATTTTCTTTAGAACTTATTTGAACAAATGAAGGATACAATACTCATAAACATCAAATGCTTTTATATAAGTGGAAATTAGCTGGAGAATTATTAAAGACTAAGGAAAACTGGATAGTTCTTTTATCTAAGTGAAACTAAACCCAGGATGTGTGGGTCTCTCAGTTAATACTTCACCATCCAACAAATGAGTTTACTTTGCAACTATCATGATCATAACCAAACTAATGATGACTCTATGAAGGTATGACAGTGACCTTTTACTGTTTAGGTTTTGTTTACCGCCTTAAACTATCTTTCGAGATTATGAGGAACACAAAATATTTGTTTCTTACCTAAACACTGTTTGTTAATTCACTCATAAGTAAAACAGTGGAACTGTCTTTATCACTAAATCAGTCCCAGTTCCCTATCAAACAGTTTACTTACCAATCCTTCAGAGATGCTGACTTTAATGAGCTATATACTATAGTGTATAAAAATAAATGATGACTTATTTAACTAATAAAAGTTATCATTAAGAATGCCTCAGAAATAAACAAGAATCCTTCTCAGGATCTTTTTCTAGTTGATCTATTCGAATTTACTGCTATTCAGGGGAATAATTAAAAGTCTATGGAAACTTTACAACTGTTTTAGCCTACTGACACTTTGACTTACCAAGCTATAAGATTAAAATTCAATAATTTAGGTAAACAGAAGGTAGTATATATCAAGAGTTAGACTTATTACCACTACCAATACTGTCAGAACGCTTTCAGCATAATACTAGAGGTAAAAACTCAAAAATCTCTTATATCAATGCAGATTTGATCAGTTCGATATAGTTGACCATCAACATGGAAGAGATAATCTATTTATTTTATACTTTACGAAGTAAAGTTGTGTTTTTCGAAGTGACTATCTCTGTATGTTATTGTCTGTTATTCCCTGTCGTTGACTGGACTAAAGTGCTCGGCATCCACGGAAACTACCAGTCCTAGGTTTCAGCCCCAGTGGGAACAGCATCATTCATTGATAGGTGGGTACATCCAGTTGAAGAGTACTAAATAGGACGAATCGAGCGTCTTACATTCTACTGCTGGCCACTATCTGTCATGGCTATCTTTGTGTTCAAGTCTCAGTGAGGTATACATGCCTCCATCTCATAGGCCAAAAATTGGACAAAATCCCTCACTTTTTAATTTATATAAAAAATTCAAATAAGTGAGAAAAATTACTATTTATTGACATACTTCAGTAACTGCATAACACAAAAGTCTTGAGTGTATCTCTAAGATCATGACGACAGTTTCATAAACATACCAAGAATATTGTTAGCTATTGACATACTTGTTATTCTCCGTTGTTTTGTTGGGTCGAATTGTCTGACCTCTATTGACATATGGGCTCCTATGCGGATGCCTCGATATTACCTGAATGTTAATTATGATAATTTAGTTGGTTGTGGCTAGGGGAAGAATCCAGGATGCACGTTTCGTCCTATTTGGGACTCGTCAGCTGGATGTACCTGCACCCAAATGATATTGTTCCCACTGAGACTCGAACCTCGTATCCATCGCTTCAAACGCCAAGGTGTTATCGAATATACCACAGAGGAAAGATAGCCGCTTCTTGTACAACCGGTGATAATTATTACTATTTATTGACATACTTGTTATTCTCTGTTGTTTTGTTGGATCTAATTGTTCGACCTCTATTGGTACATAGGCTCCTATGCGGATGCCTCGTTCATCTGTAGCATAGTGGATAACGCCTTGGCGTTTGAAGCGATGGGTACGAGGTTCGAGTATCAGTGGGAACTACATCACTGGGGTGCAGCTGCATCCAGCTGACGAGTCCCAAATAGGACGAAACGTGCGTACTGGGTTCTTCTGCTAGCGACAGCCAAACTAATATAAGTAAGAAAAATGTCTAACTGAAGCACTTAAAATATGATTTTATAATATCATTTACTAACAACTTCTTGTCCTTCGGAAAGTGAATTTCCATCATTCAATGCAGAGTATTCATTCAGTAGATTTTTGAATGAATTTCCTATTACTTGGTTCGAATCAATGTCCTTCAATTCATTCTAAATTCATAGTCAAAAAAATGTTTTTGTTTAAAATGTTGACTGAAAAGTGCGATGATAAATTTTAAAAGTTACATGTTGGTTGTTAATACCAACACTAGTTATCAATTCTAAACAAAATCAATCTTAAATTATTCATGTTATGACAATACGTCTTCATTTTGAGTGGTCACAATCAATTAATTATGACCTTGATCTTTGTATTCAGTATTTCTATATGTTCACAATGTTGTCAAGATCATGTAATATGCTATACGTATTCTATATTTCCTCTCTGTATCATCGTATCTGCAATTTTTATCGGTCTTTAAAGTGTTGATAGCTTCACTGAATCAGCTTGCAAAGTGAGGTTAAAACTTTTAAAACAGAATTCAGCCAAAATCTACGATTTACAAGGGTGAAAGAGGTAAAACTATAGTCAAATGACCTACTATTATGGTATGTTGCAATTTATCGTCCAACAGTTGCAAAACATTTGTTAAATGCTTAGGGTCAGTGTGGCACGGTATATGTAGAAAATATGTTGATCGCCTAAATCCAATATATTCATACAATAGAATCATCAATTTGCAAATGATTTACAAATTGTACGGTTCACGTTGACATTCCTCACGGGTGAGTAGTTTTTTCCAACTCCTCAACTGCGATGTCAACTCGGTTCCCAATGGAAACGTCCAACCAAGATCACAAGGTTTGCTCTTCGACGGAAGTGTCCATACAAGTCAGCTAGCCAGATTCAGGTGATCTAAACTAGTTTGGCTTTAAAAACTGACTTTATCTAGACTCACCGCTGATGATCTGGGTTGACCCCAGAAGAGTGAAATGGCCCTCCGGTGTTTAGATCGATATCACCTGGCTGGAGAAATCTACAGATCAATTTGAGTGGTTTATAATTACTGTTGTTCATTATTAGTTTATTTATCGCAAACTCATACTTCTTTTTATATTCACATAAGCAGCTCATTTATTGTCATGAACAGAGAAGCTTCAAATGCAGTTTTAATATTCCCTTCAGAAACTTATGACTACGAACGAACAAAACTGGGAATAGTCGATAATGCCGTGCTATATACGTTTCTACTACGCATAATAAATCACTGAAATGCAAATGTTTGGTCATTGAGAATGGTTACTTGGTATGCTTTCACACTTCTATATTTGGCTAACCAATGGACGACAACTACACTTCTTCTACTTCTTATTTTATCAAGTTGTTGACTGTTGTTTTGACACATTTAGAAATGATTTTACATCGTTAGGGAAGAAATCTACATGTTAAGAATTAGTGGTGGAAAATACTAACTAGTTTACGACTTACTTCCGACATATCATGAATATGTCATGGAAATGTCTTCACCTTCGTTAAAGATACACACCATTTGAGCATAAATAATCTAAGGTACTAATATTTCAATTCCACAACTTTTCTTCCCAGTGGGTATGCGTTTTGCTGCTGTCAAATTCAAGATGATGTTCCAGGACTGGTCTTCAACTCCTCATCTAAGGATACGAACTGAAATGGCGCAAACTGTTCACCAATTCTCTTACTCGAGAATTTTCATAAACCCACTTGGGTTGTTTACATGGTAGTGACTAGTAGAAGGTTGATTACAGACGAAATCACAGCTCAGATACGAAAGGTCAGTTTAACTTTTACCACTCTGTATCATTCCTGGACAGATGAGATATTCAACTACCTGTCAAAGGACGAGTGTATTCCACAGCATTCCGTCCTGAACTGTTATGCATGTGTGACACATGGTTTCTCAAAGTAGAAAACATTAAGAGAATACAGGTTTTGGACTATAGGTGTCTTCGCAGCACTGCTCACGTGTGGCAGAATCGTCGTGTAAGCAACGCTGAGGTCAGGCGCATAGTACTAGGAAAGGAAGGTAAATTGGTCGATGAAATTGTGAACCTTCAAAAATTATGATAGTCTGAACGTCTGTTGTGCGTATCCAGTCAGCGCCTACCCCAATGTTAGCTGATGTCAGATGGGGCTAGAAGAAAGCTAAAGGAGGAAAGATTAATACATGACACTAATCCATGAGACCTGTTAACTGTTAGTCTGAGTCGTGTAAAGAGATGTAGGCTGCCTAGCGGGAGTTGTCAGAGTCACATGAATCAGTGGTTGAAAAATTTAAAACAGCTTGATCTATGTATTGTCTCTTATCTTATACAGTTTTAACAGCTTTACGGCCATTCTTTTTGCCCTTACTTCTTCCTCGTGTGCTGCTTCGAAGTGTGGCAGCTTGAATCACTGCAATTATGTTCCAGGTTCCATCCCAATCTGTCTTTCTACCCATCAGTGAAATTTATGCATAAATTTTCACATGGCTAATTTATAGCAAGTTTGGAAGGTGAAACGCAATCCCATCTGACATAATCTTTCATAGCGGCAACCGTATAACTTAACCATGACAGACTGACATTTGTGTTTACTGACTGCATTGACTATGTGCCAACTTAAAAAGTAGATTAAATAAGATGTAATTTGTAGTTTTATCTAAAAATAAACAACAAATGTCAGTGACGCATTGGGAGTGTTGACATCAGGCTTCGGCTTCCAAAATCTCATAGTTATTATCACTAATAGCTGTGGTAAGCCATGTGGATCTAAATATATATTCGGTTCATTGTTTGGCTGTTTAGGAATTTGGATGATTTTAGAAAAATGTTGTAAATATCAAATCTAAGTCTTACTTGTTCTTCTACATTGATATTGCTATTATCCACTTCCAATGGTTTATCGTTTCTCTCACCATCCTCCGTTAATTCACCACTTTCATGAGCCTAATTCAGGGAAAATTACAGTGTTCCCAGAAGAAAATGGATTATTAAACATATCGTCAAATCAAGAAAAGATACTGTTGTTGAGTTTTGCAGTTACGCAGAAGCCTACAGTGAGCTATCTTACCAGTTTCTCATTATGAACAAAATGACGGAGTTTATCGAATGCATGTATCCTATGATAGGAAGTACAGTAAATGAATGAGTCGATCGATTCACTTACACGGCGAACCACATCAGCCTGAACGGGCTGGTAGCTGATAAAATCTCAGGCTGGGATACACAGGCTCATTTGGCATTTGATAACTGCCGAGATATCCAAGGACGAGTATGCTGCGCTGCAGTCTGTTCTATCCTATTATATGGCTGTAAGATACGGCCCTTAAAAGAAGAAGATATAAAGTTACTACAAGTTTTCGATCATAGTTGTCTTCATAGCATTGCTCACATGTAGTAGAATCAGCGTGTGAGCAGCGTTGAGGTCAGGCGAAAAGTACTAGGCAAGGAAGGCAAGCCGGTCGATGAGGTTGTGCATCCTGACTGATTGACATGGCTTGAACATGCGTTAGGGATGCCCAGTCACCACCCATCTCGACATGTAATGCTAGGAAAAGTTAGTAAGGTTGGTGGAAGCCTCGGAGTAGCCAGAGCAAAACGTTGCATCGGTTCAGTTAGTCCCTGAGTGTTGATCTGAGCTGTGTAGGGAGGTGGCCGGGTTTTCTAGGATGACAGGAATTAGTGGCTGAGGACTGTTGGTGAAATGGCTGAAAACTGGTTCCAATAATACAGACGCATACACTCTTTGATGCCTCCCAAGGCCGAAATGTGTGGACTAACCCAAATTTTTAAATTCCCTTTCTTCCCATATACATCTGTCTACTTTGATATTACTTTTTTTTCAATCCATCTGTTCTTTGCATACTTCTGTGAAGTGTGGGAACTTAGACCGATGCACCTGTGTGCGAAATTCCACGTTGTTTTTGCCTGTCTGGCTGTCTGTTTGTCTATCTAATGAGGCTTAGAGCATCTTCTATGACTGAACCTTTTAAAATGTAAGTTATAACTGGCACAAAATATTCTTAATGCATAAAAGTAGTATATAATGAACGTAAACGTGATTATTTTTTGCAACTAATATTACTTCTCTTTTTCATCTAATATCAGTTTCTTCAGAAGATTTTATATTCATGTTGATTCTCATTATAGACTGAAATCAATTGTAGAACTATTGGAAACCTGAAAGCACTGGACAGCTGTTTCGTCCTAGTGTGGGGCTCTTTAGCAGCGCGCACCCATGATATATCGTGGGGCATAGGAGAAACCATAAAACAAGTTGGTAAGGGCAAATGTGGGAACTCCTAGACTGCAAGGCTTCCATATAAAAATAAACGGCTTTGTAACTCCATCTTATATCATCTTTAGTTTTCAAATGGGTGCTATGACCAACATGTCAGATAAGCAAATGGTGCCCTGTTATCAGGATATACATCATCCTAAAGGTAGCGTCTCCCAACCGATAGCTGATATCTTGACGTAGTGGCCTGATTTGCATATTACAATGCTTCGGCAATCCATTCTAGTTAAAATACTTGTTCTTTGAGATCTGACCATACCAGAAAAGTCTACTGGAGGAGTTAGAAAAAGTTGACCCTAGAATTAGTCCACTCCTCAATGTCCTGCGATTTTCCTGTAGGTTTTTCTAACCCGGAAGAAATGCAATCAATTACAGCTTGAAAACTCTTCAAAAAGCTGTGTCATCGGTGTCAAGTAGATGGACTGTAAATTCACCCAGTTTATTCAGCCAGTCCTTACTTAACTAGTTTATTTCTCAGGTGACTCCAGAACAAGTAATCTTGCACAGTATAGGCAACCGAGAGATGACAAGTACTCTCATATCTATGTCAACTCTCAAGCCCCTCCTGAAGGTTTACGCCTTTAACTTACCACATTTTATAGATTTGTTTCTTTAACTAATGGTTTTTATTTTGACATTTAGTGTATTAATACAATGACTTGTTATATAAATGAACTGGAAAACGTTTTTGCTCTTGTGACTCTTTAAAGAAAGGCTGATGTTACTTGTGAATACATGAGTAGCAAAATAATGCCTAACCACGCCTGGTTAACTAGTTCACTAGTTACTAGCCTGTCCTAAGCCCGGGTAAACAGGGAAGGTTGGGCATAGGACTTTCAACCCTACCCCGGAAAACAAATCTAACCGCTAAAGAAACTTCAAAGCACAAACAAAATATGAAAAATAAAAACAAAATTATTCCTTTCTGGATTCGGAGAGGCGAAATGACGCCAGTTGGTGAAAGCCTTCGGGAAGCCAATTGGCCAATATGTCTTCTCTCTCTCGATGAGGGCGAAAGTAAACGTGGGGACATGGAATGTCCGCACCATGTTTGAAGCTGGCTGGCAAGGCTGCCCAGATTGCAAAGGAGATGAGAAGGTACAGCATTGAAGTGTTAGGAACTTGCAAAAGCAGATGGAATGGAAGTGGACTCTCCAAACTGTCAACTGGAGAATCAATAATCTACTCCGATATTGTCACCCAGACTACAACCACCAGCACACTGAGTTATGGAGTGGCTATCATGATGTCCCAAACAGCATCGAAGGCTCTTTCTGATGCAATAGGAACCAATCTCTTCCTGCAGGATCGTGACAGCAAGATTCAACTCAAAAGGAAGGGAAGTCACAATCACTCAATGCTACGCTATTCGCCTACAAATAGTGCAGATGAAGAGAAGAAGGAGAAATTCTACAGACAACTCCAATCAACACTGGACAAGACCCCGCCTCAGTTGGCGATATCAAAATTCTAATATGCAACAGGAATGTCAAACTGGGAGCGGACAACAAAGGAAAAGAACAAAACATGGGTCGAGAAGCGATCGGTGAGGTGATGAACGAGAATGGAGAATCGTTTGCGGAATTCTAGGCATTTAATGATTTGGTGATTGGAGGCACTGTGTTCAAGCACAAGGATATCCATAAAGCGACATGGATTTCACCAGATGGACATACTAAAAATCAGATCGCCTTCATCTTAATCTCAACGAAGTGGAGACGCAGCCTACTGGACACAAGGTCAAGAAGAGGAGCAGATATAAGTCCACACCACTATCTAGTGCAAGGAACCTACCTTCAAAATCAAGTTGAAAGCCTTCAAGGAAGCTGGTGATAGACCATAGTTCAGGTTCAACATCCACAACAGAAACTGAAGGACGAAACGACAAAGGACATCTTCACGTCGGCCATCAAGACAAAATGAGAGATATCGAGCAGCATCCCTGAAGAAACCTGTGTGGAAGAAAACTGGAATTATTTGAAAGAGATGTGGAAAGGAACCTGCACAATCGTATTAGGAAGGAAGAAGGTAAGGAATGGATCTTGATGGACACACAGAAGCTGATAGAGCAGGGAGAGGAGGATGGTGAAACAGAAGATAAATCAGTGCAGTGCAAGGATGAGCAACGAGAAGAGGAAAAGAGTACAACGTATAAAACAATACACTGGGCAAAGAAATGAAGAAGAGTGCAAGCAAAGACAAAAGACACTTCTACGAAACACTGGCAAGTGAAGCAGAACAGGCTGCTGCAGGTAGGAGAGACCTAACCACATTGTATCAAATAACCAGGTTACTATCTGGGAGGGGAGAGATCAACACATGTGAAACCAATAAAAGATGATGAGAGAAATTTAATTACGAAAGAAGAGAAACAAAGGAAACGGTGGGCCGACCACTTCAAGAAGCTCTTGAGTCGATCACCAACACCACCTGCACTCCGTCCAGAAATACCACCTGCAGCACAGCCACATAACTGCAAGTGAACACAAGCCCTCGGACAAAAGTGGAAGTCCTGAGCGCCATAAAGCTACTGAAACGGAAGAAAGCAGCAGGACCAGATGGAATCCCGCCACAAGCACTGAGAACTGACGTGGAGACAACAGCAACCGACATGCTCACACCACTGTTGCAGAAGGTCTGGAAGGAAGGGAAGGTACCTGCCAGTTGATTGGAAGAAGGGTTACCTTGTCAAACTCCCGAAGAAGGGAGACCTCAGTGTTTGCAAGAACTGGTGAGGAATCACTCTCCTGTCCACCCCAAGCAAAGTATTAGGCCGCATCATCCTGGACAGACTAAAGGATGAGCTGGATTCAAAACTACGACCGGAACAGGCTGGCTGGCTGGATTCAGCAAGTACAAATCATGTGCAGACCAAATTGCAACAACGCTACGCATCATCATAGAACAGAGCAAAGAATGGCAGTCAACTCAACTCTACCTCAACTTTATCGACTTTGAGAAGGCCCTTGACAGCGTCAACCGACAAGTAATTTGGCAGTTGCTTCAACACTACGGAATACCACAAACCTTTATCAGCCTCATTCAGCAACTATATGAAGATGCCACATGCCAAGTAATTCACAATGGGAAGCTCAGTGATGCTTTTGAAGTGAAGACATGCAGGAGTGAAACAAGGCTGCCTACAATCACACATGATATTCTTGATTGTGGTCGACTGGATCATGCAGCAAACAGTGGGGAGCTGTGAGAAGAGGGGGATACGCTGGACCGCAGAAAAGAACCTAGAAGATTTGGATTTCACCGACGACATGTATCTAATGTCGCACAAACTTGAAAATCTACAGGCAAAAACTAACAGGTTGACAGAATAGGCAAGGCAGCGAAGACGGGAATTCAAGTGAAGTGGGTGTAGAGAAGACAGAGGTGATGGAGATACCCAACCAACAACACCACCAACAACAACAAGCTCCAATCACCATCAACGGGAAAAACTTAAAGGAAGTAGCCTCCTTCACCTATCTAGGCAACACTGTTTCAACTACGGGCGCCACAGATGAGGACCTCAAAGTCAGCCAGGATCGGAAAAGCAAGACTGGCGTTCATCAGCCTGAAACCAGTGTGGAGATCTACTGCACTGCACTCAGCATAAAGCGTGAACAACATCCACATTTTCAACACCAACTTCAGTCAAGTCAGTGCTCCTGTATGGTTCAGAGATTTGGCGCGTCACCAAAGGCATTTCCAACAAACTACAGACATTCATCAACAACTGACACATACGCTGGCTCGTTACTGAAGCTCAGATGGCCAGAAGAAATAAGCAACAAGGAACTCTGGGAACTAACCAACCAAGAACCTATCGCTCAACAAATATGTGGAAAGAAATGGAGATGGACGCATTGAGAAGACCATTTGGGGACATCACGTGCCAGGCGAGTTGCTCGAGTGGAACCCAGATTTGAAGTGACGAGTTGGGCGTCGTAGCTGAGGGTGACCTGGAGTAGATGGTGTGAGGGAGAAATGAAAGCTTGTGGGCAGTCGTGTTGCTAGGTTGAAAAGACTGCAGAGAACAGAGTGGGGTGGAGACGTGCTACTGAATACCTATGTTCCATTAGAAACCCAAGGGATAAATAATAATAATAATAATAATAAAATAATGCCTAAGTGTTGAGTGTCACCCGAATCTATCCAATCATAACTGTTCAGATCACTGAGTGACAACTGCTTTACTCAATCCAACACACTGTAACCAATTCTAATGCACTGAGTGTTCAAAGAGTGACAGTATAACCATAGAAAATGTGGCTTTTATTCATCAAATTAAACTAGCTGAATACCAGACATAATCAAGAATACTTTAAGTATAGGAATTCCATGCACCTTTTAATATACATTCATCGGTAAAACATGGTTTTTAAAGTCAGAAGACACAGGACTAGTTCAGGCACTCCAATACTGATGGATCTGGTACCGACTGAAACTACTTGTTTATCAAGTATCAATACTGGATATCATTAGTTGATCATCAGAACTTAACTGATGCATATAAGCCTCTTTTAGAGACTGTTTCCAAAGGGAAATATTTCAAATACAAAGCTTATTCATACCAAATATTTGTAAGACTTTTAGTTTAAAATAAGAATAATAGAATTAGGTGTAATCTAATCATCAGATTCTAATGTAGATTCCTCTAAAACCTTCAATATTCAAACGGCGGACTAAATCCGCACGACATTCAAAATGTTAAAAAAGCTGCCAAACTGTTGTTCTGGTAGGTGACTCTCAACTAATGCTACCCATGACTTTATATTGAGATTCAAGCTAGGAACTTGTTTGTTGTTACTCCGCCAAGGGTCCAAAACCAATGGCATACACTTTTTTCAGCTTCTGCTAATTTATGATACATCACAACTGTCATCGAATATTATCGATGAATAAATGTCCTCATACCTGAATTAGATGACATCATAGTTAATGACTTCTCACGAACACTTCAGGTAACCTGTCTTGAACAAATCTATGGCTAACATAGAATTATTATTCACTTTTGAAGTTTGCGGAAAACTTATTAATTTTTAAAGGTTTTTCATCACAGGTTGACGCCAGATGAAGAGCCATTGCAAAATTGATAGCATTGGAAAGTTGTGTTATTCACATTAGTGAGCATCCACAATCTCATACACTTTTGAACTCAGGACCGCCATATCTTGGGTTTTAAGATTATCAGTCAGGTTATATGCAGTCGCAGATGCTCAGTGATCAGATAATCGAGATTGCTAATGATAATAAATAAATGTCTCACCTTATCTGCTTTAATATCTACGTTTTCTTCTTTCATTTCAATTGATATTGTACTTCTTCTTGGCAGTTTTGAATATTCACAGGTGATCCAATCAGCTTGTTCTTGTTCAGTGTTCAAGCAATTCAACTAAACAATTATTTAAAAGAGTGTATAGTACTCGAGTTAATCTTAAATCATAAACAACAGCCGACCAATTACTGATTTCAATTCATTCAAAGCTCGGCAATGGTAACAATACAATAAACGGAACTGTTAATTATATTAATATAAAAACATGTAAACAAAAGCAAGTGAACAGCGAAACATTATGAGGAGTGAAGTGTTTGTTCTTGAATATCATGATTACAATGGTTAAGAGAAGAGATATACTGGTAGAAACAATGAAATTTAGTTACAGTTTTGCAAAATGTCAATCCACAGACTCCGCTACAGATCATACACATCGAATGAAATTAGAAGTGTGCTCAACAAATGTAATATCAGAGAGTTTTGCGGTTTAGTTCATTTGAAGGACGAGATCCCTCTAGATTCATATTCTAACTGTGTTTTTGAAAAATAAAGTGCTGATACTGATATCCAATGTACGCAGGGAAAACTTCCCGTGAAATCAAAATTGGAAAAAATGAACACAGAAGAGGTTCCACACGACCCCCTTGAAATCTACTGGAACTGAAAAAAACTTGAAAACACTTCATCCATAGCTCCATGTGTTATAATTCCAGGTCACAAGGTAGATTTTGACAAAATCAAAATTATTCAAAAAGGTTTTAAAAAATGTAGATAACGTCTGTTCACATTAAGTGGAATCAAAATTGTCTAAATAGGAATGAGATGGAATGGATAACTTACAGACTATCTTATTAGATTATAAATATTCGCTTAGCGCACAAGATTTAGAAATGACGCCTTACCATTTGGTCATTTCTATAAACCCCAAACGTAATACTAACTGCCTATAAGTACATTTAAAATAAAACCTTTATCTTTAAAACAGCAAGGAGAGAATCACCAAACTACCTGAAACTTAATGCAACCAATCTTTACGACCATCACGTTCACACATTTGTTTTGATGGTTACGGTGGTGGGGAAGAAATTGAATTAGGCCAGGCTACTCATATAATCCAACACTGCTCAATCACAACTCTTCAGTGCCTTGACAACCACTTTCAATCTCAAAAAGTTCATCATTCAGCTTCTTGAAATTAAGGTTGAACAACTCAAAATGAAGTTGTTTAGGATAAGCGTCAAAAGGAATCTAAATTTCAATGACATATACTAACTACAGATGAGATCACTGCACTGATAAATTGACATTTGACGAAATATACCCGTTTATTCATGTATAAGAACGAGAAATGTATTAGTGATGAAATATTTCTTCTCAGCGACTTCATTATCAATCTGTGCAGTCATATTTACAATAGGTAAAGTGAGAGACAGTTGCACTAAAAGTTGCTCAGTCAATATGCAAAATATATAATTGGTGTTGTAATGGGATTTGTTCGTATGGAAGAGACAAAATGGATCACTAAACAAGGAAAGAAATGATGAGAAGTGGTGAGATAAGGCACAAGTGCTATCAGAGAAGTGAAAAATGGTGATAATACTCATAATGAAAGAGAAGTATACCAAAGTGAGACACAATATTAAGAAGGGGAGCAAATGTAGGTTCACACCACAAACTATCTAAAGCGAGGAACCTACCTTCAAAATCAAGTTGAAAGCCTTCAAAGAAGTTGGTGATAGACCACAGTTCAACTTCAACATCCACAACAAAAACTGGAGAACGAAACTACAACGGACTACTTCACATCAGCTATCAGGAAAGAATGAGAGAAATCAAGCTGCATCCCTGAAGAAACATGCATGGAAGAACACTGGAACTCTGTGAAAGAGACGTGAAAGGAAACCCGCATAAACGTGTTAGGAAGGAAGAAGAAGTGACAGGACAAGGAATGGATCTTGATGGACACACAGAAGCTGATGAAGGAGGGCGAGGAAGATGGTGAAGCAGAAGATGAACCAGAGCAGTGCAAGGATGAACAACGAAAAGAGGAACTGAACACAACCTATAAAACACTACACTGGATAAATATGTGAAGATGAGTGCACGCAAAGACAAAAGACACTTCTATGACACACTTGCAAGTGAAGCAGAATAGGGTGCTGATAGGACACCTGACAACATTAAATCAAATGTTTAGTTTACTGTCTGGGAAGAGATCAAAGGGGACGAGGCCAGTGAAGGAAATCGAGTTACCAAAGAGGAGAAACAAAGGAAACGATGGACTGACCACTTCAAAAAGCTCTTGAATCGACCAGCACCAACAACCGCAGGACTACCAGGGAACACAAGCCCTCCAACAAAACCAGAAATGAAGTTCTGAATGCCATGAAGCTACTGAAATCCAAGGAAGCAGTAGGAACAGATGGAATTCCACCAGAAGCTCTGAAAACAGACGCAGAAAAAACAGTGGACATGCTCACACCACTGATGCAGAAGGTTTGGAAGGAAGGAAGGAGAGGTACCTGCCAATCGCTTGGAAGAATGGCTACCTTGTCAAACGTCCTAAGTCTTTGCAAGAACTGGTAAGGGATCATGCTCCTGTCCAATCCAAGCAAAATATTATGCCGAATCTTCATGGAGAGACTAGAAGATACTCTGGATTGAAAATTACGACCACAACAGTTTGCTGGCTGGATTCATGAAATACATTTCATGTGAGGATCAAATTGCAAGTCAACGCTACGCATCACCCATCATAGAACACAGCGTTGAATGGCAGTCAAATCAACTCTACATCAACTTCATCGATTTTGAGAAGGCCTTCGACAGCTCCCACCGACAAGTAATTTGGAAACTGCTTCAACACTACGGTTCTAGTGCCACAAACCTTTATCAACCTCATTCAACCGCCACGTGATGATATGATGCTACATGCCGAGTGCTTCATAATGGGAAGCTCAGTGACGCCTTCGAAGTGAAGACAGGAGTAAGACAAGGTTGTCATCTACTATCACCAATGGTCTTCCTGATTGTGGTCAGCTGGACTGCATCATGAAACAAACTGTGAGGAGTGAGAGGAGGAGGATGTGCTGGCTTGACCGATGAAAAGACCCCAGAGGAAGATTTCGATTTCGCCGATGATGATGATGATTTATGTCTAGTGTCTTGTCGCACAAACTCGAAGATCTACAGACCAAAGCGAACAAGTTGACAGAAGAGGCTAGGCAGCGAAGATGGGACTTCATTCAGGTGAAGGTAGGGAAGACAGTGTGATGAAGACACCCAACCAACAACAACACCAACAAGCACCAATCGCCATCAACAGAGAAACCTAAAGGAAGTAGTCTCTTTCACCTACCTACCCACCTAGGCAGCATCGTTCCAACTACAAGCGGCACAGGTACAGATGAAGACGTCAAGGCCAGCATCGGAAAGACAGCAAGACAGGTCTTCAATAATCTGAAACCAGTGTGGAGATCTACTGCACTCCACTCAGCACCAAGAACAAAATCCGGATTTTCAAGTGAGTCAGTGCTTCTATATGATTGAGAAACTTGACGCGTCACGGAAAGCATTTTAACAAACTACAGTTATACACCATCAACAGCTGCCGCCTACGCTTACTCGATACTGACACTGAAGAACAGATGGCCAGGATGATAAGAATAAACGACAAGGAACTCTGGCTGGCTGACTAGCTGGCAACGAACTAACCAACCAAGAACCCATCGTCCAACAAATATGCAGAAGGAAGTGGAGATGGATTGGATTGGGCATACACTGAGAAGACCGATTGGGGACATCACGCGCCAGGCTAGGCCAGGCCAGGCCGTTGAGTGGAATCCAAAGGTGAGATGACCAGTTGGGCGTCTGAGGCGGGGGTGACATGGAGTAGATGGTGTGAGGGAGAAATGAAAGCTTGTGGGCAGTCGTGTTGCTAGGTTGAAAAGACTGCAGAGAACAGAGTGAGATGGAGACGTGCTACTGAATCCCTATGCTCCATTAGGAACCCAAGGGACGAATAATAATAAAAAATACCAATGTGAAATTGAATGGAATTGATAAAATAAGCAAAATAAAGTGTTAAGCCTAAGGTAGAGAAAGTGTTTTCACAAAATGTTTCTGAATGCAAAGTTTTTGTTTTTGTTCATGTACAGTTAGTGTTTCAGCTATGAATAAATGATAGATACGAGCACGTTTGGAGTAGTTCAATATATCTTGGTAAATCACTTTCAAGTATAAATTTCGAGGACCTGAATGACCTAACTCTACTAGGTTTTCACATATAGATGAAGTTGTTTTCCCTTGCTCTTCTTTGGAAAGCTAAATCGTGTAATGCTCAACAAGGCGTTTTTTGGAGCTTCTGCTTACAACGTACAATATAGTTAGCTCCATGGGAACATGTGAATTTGTAGATATATACATGGATGTGAACATAAGTGGTAGCCTATTCTTCATGCATTGTCGAATCAGACAACGTCTGCAGAATATCACTCTCAGTCTAGCAGCATAAAAGCTTCTAGTGATACACTTTGACGACAGCTTTTCAGCACTTCTGCAATAATGTCCCCATTGAATTTCAGATTCATGATTAGAATTTTCTAAGAAACTGTAATAGGTTGACAGGCAATTTGTTTCTTCAAATTCTTATCAATAAATCTTTTAGGATATCCGTTATTAGATAGTGATTTTTCAAATGTTTCAATCTCAACATCCACCGTGTCTTCTGAACAGATTTTATAGATTCTGGAATACACTGGCTGAATGAGATTTCTTTCACAGCTAAAAGGTATTCAACTAATAAAGTTATTGAACTGACCAGTCCAAGTGAGTTTTGCAATCGACTTACTTTTGAATTGAGCCATTATCTCTTTAACATTAAGTTTAGAAAATGGAACATTGAATTTAATACTTGGGTAACTATCATTGAAACATCTAAGCAGTTCATCCACTGAACATGTTTCGTCACAAATAAGAAGAGTATCGTGAATTTGTCTTATACATTGACATGAGTTGTATATTTTGTATGTTGACTGAGCAAATTTTTAATGCAATTATCTGTCATTTCATCTATTATAAGTGTGACTATACAGATTGATAATGAAGTCGTTGAAAGGCAGATTGCCATTTGTTTGGAACCTTAAACCATACTCATCTAATAGATTTCAATAACTCACTGATTAAAACCAAGTCATATTTGAAACTTTTGCTTTATCTTGCTACTAGACTTACTTGATGTGACTTTAAACAAATTTTCAACAACTGACTTCTCTAGGTTATTTCTTTGAAATAACTCAGGACAAAAGACGTGGAACTAATCTACATAAGTGCACTTCCATAAATTTGTATACGTAAATCAGATAGATCATGGTTGAATTTCATTGGATAGTACGGTAGATATTTTACAATTTGACCTCAGCTAAGTAGAAAGTATGTGTTAGAAATTGGTAGTAGCGAGTAGTGTAATCCACAGCACGGTTTACTTTTCACATAAGATGCTGTAGCTGCATCCTAATGATGGTGCTCCTGATGGAACTTAAACCCAGCACTTACCGATGAAAACACCGGAGTTTTATCCAATAAACCACTGAACTACGACACCCACTCCTTGTAAAACAGGTTAATTTTTTTAATATCGTTGTTAATTGGTCTGGACCGAATTGATTAGCCTCTGTCACCATATTGGAGTACTGTGCTGATACTTCAATATAGCCGGCCATTTCACTTTTTATATAAAGGATGGATATCAAAAGTCAAATCACCGACTATATTAAGGCATCCACACAGTAGACTATATCCTAAAAGAGACCGATCAATTCAGTCCATACTAATCAAATAATAATAATAAACTCTAGTATTAAGACGTAGATAGTTACAAGATGAAACAAAGTGCATAAAATTGGTCATCAATGGGGTCACGGATGCAGTTATGTAGTCTTTAGTGCTTGGTAGTGATCAAACTTTAACGATCAACTTTATAATGTGGTGACTGAACTGTGATGAGACAACACTGCAGTGTATTGGATTTTGTGTTAAAAGTCACTAGGTAAGAAGATTTTATGTACCTACGTTTCGCTCTTGTTGGCACTCATCAGTAAGGTGCATCTGCAACACCTGACACCAAATACATTACACCATTGTTTTGTGTCACTTAGCCGAGTGAACACATTGCAAAGCCGATTGATAGACTTCGATCAGAATCGAGGATTCAACATCTACACATCGGTCGTCCATTGGTGACCAATTTATATTCACAATCCAGTTCTACAAAGAATCAACAGTGTCCTGAATGGCTTAGTGACTAAGTATCTGACTTCACCACCAAGTCATGTCCTTTCAAACCATTCAGAAGACATCAGTTTTCCCAAGGTTCCAGATACATCTTTCTGATAAACGCCAACAGACAAAATACCTAGATGCAGCACGCTTCCTTGTCAATTAACTCCCAACGTTTAATACCAAAACAAAAACCATTTTTCCATACTTATCTACTAAGAATTCTTCAGAATTCCAAATTAGTGTTTGTAAAGACAAAAATTAATAAGTATTTAAAACAAGAATTCCATATCTCTTTCAAAGAATCACTTCATGAATTCTACAGTATGCCATAAATCATATTAAAGCATTCATTCATAAACACATTCTTATACAGTGATGCACAAGAAGATGTATCCATGCCTACATAAGCCCACACACACAAACATCACGTTGAAAAAACACAATCTTTTTCTGAGTCCTGAGCATTCATGTCGGTTGAATTGGTATAACTACACATGAAGATTCAACTGTAGGTGATAAAAGGATTGGTTTGTTCGCAGGACATAAGGTTGATAAATCATCCTAAAGAGATGTATTAAATGTAGGATTAATTAATTTGATTGCATTTATCAGAATCAGTATGTTAATCTCGAAAAACAACCACTCAGATCAGCATAATAGTAATGACCTTGAATGGACGGCATCATTAACACGGATTCTAATTGGTTGCTTCAAACCGTCTACGTAATATAAATAATGACACGACTTCCGTCTACTATTATAACAGTCTTTGAATTATTCATTACTGTATGAAAAGCGCTGGACAATAATCAGTATTCGTTGTCTGTATACCTACTTTCAAGTGGAAAAAAATCATAAAATGTTTGAAGCTATACCCACCTAGGATCAACATTTTTTATGTTAAACGACAGAATGTTTGATAAGAGTTGCATATGAGTCCCCAAACATCATAACTATGAATAACAGCTCTGACGTTTACTACAGATATGTGGATGATACTTCGTTATTTTAAATTCTTTTCTTAACTCATTTCAGTTTTACCCGATTTGATGTTTTCTTCGTACCTTTTTACACCTTTAGTCTTATACGATTTACTCTTATTGAGTAGTATACCTTTATTCTCCCACAATGTTACTCCAGCTATTTTGATAATTGATTCCTGTTATTATCGCGTTTTGATCATCATTTCAACTTCATTGGATTATGATATCTTCTCTGTTTCACGATTGCATTGTACTCTCTTCCACTATTTTCTTGATACTTCGTCTTAACATGAAGATTTATCTTACGTCTTTTTATCTTGCCATGCGAATTCGAGTGACTTTTAATATTTTCGACTGGTTTGTTTTAGACACAGTACTGCTGTTTATATTGCTGATGCACTCTGATAAGATACTCAGACAGTGGTAAGCTCAAAGAAGCCTCACGACTAGAGGTTCGTATTCTATTAGTCAGTGTTGTTGATCAATATAGTAACGTACCTCAGATAATTATCGCGTTTTAGATTTTAGGGGTTTTGTCAATATGTCAAAGAATCATTTGGTCGTTTACGTTACAAGTTTACAGGAAGAAATTCAGTTAAGTGCGAAATCGAACTGAGAAAACCTTTCTGAAACACTTAGACTATGATTCACATCTAACGTAATTGATTAAGGAGGTGTATGTGGTATCCCAACTGCTCAGTGGACAACGCTCTTGCATTTGAATCGAAGGGTGCTGGGTTCAAGCCTTGGTGGGGACTACATTTTAGGGTGCAGGCACACCCAGCTGACGAGTCTTGAGTAGGAGGAAACGCACGTCCTGGGTTCCTCTACTAGTCACAAAGGTCAAAACTGGATCTAGTTACGAGGTTAAGAAAGCAAGCTTCTCAAAATGAAACACGATTTAAAGCAGAATGAATAAAAGAAAAGATTTTTAAACAATAGTAACAATCAGACGAATAAAAGAGCAGGTACAGAAAAGTAGATCACAATGAAATCATGAGAATGAAGAAAGTTCGGATTCAGCTTTCAATTAACGATCTTCTAAGGCTAGTTCAGGTATATTTTAAGAATTATTGAATAGACAGGTTTATTTCACTGCCATGCAATAGGAAGAGGTGTGTTGGGTTAGCATCTGTCGGCACCTCACAACTACCTGGATGGGGATCAGAGAGATAACACAACTAAGTGGCTTGAGACTATCAGAGATATGGTTCAGAATTGGAATCATTGGTGGTTATGCTGAATCCGTCTTGTTTCTTCTTGATGCCTATATTGTATCAGATTTGTGTTTATAAAAAACAAGTACTTCATAACATAAACACAGGCACACATGCACGCACAATAACATCGTGATCCTTTCTTAAGAAAAAATGATGGTACAAGCAATAACAAAACCTTATTCTACCAATAACCGATGAACAGGTTCTTTTATGATGCCATTTAACTGAATGTTCTGGTTTGGATTAAATCTTAGTAACTTCTACAGAAGAAACTGTAGCTTACATCAGGAATTTGTTCAAAAAAATTCGTTCCAACTTTACGAAAACACTCTCCAGTTGGACTAAAGCATATTCTTATCATGAATTAATTAGACCTGGTACTTCAGCGCTCAAATTTCATCCAACACATTTTCAACAATTATGATAAGATATTTATAGCCTACACAGTATACGCATGAAACGCTACAACTGAAAAACCTGAGTAGCTGAATACTTCTTAGGCTGATTAGATCAAAATGATCCAAACAAGTAACGGCTGTTTCGCTATTTTTAGAGCCGAGCTGATCAGCAGCGTTCCCGGATGAATTCAGCTTCCTAGAGCTGAATTAATCCAACGTGGACGATGGAGCTTGTAAGTCATTTATAAATTGACTATCGTATTTTAGGTATGCCGCTCCATGCAAGTCAACCAACTAGATTCAGATGATCTGAAAAATTCACTTGGTAGAGCTGAATTGTCACAGTATACATCTGATCAGCTTGACCCCATACGATCGAAACGACCATTCTGCGTTTAAATCACTTTAAACAAATTGCCTGATGAAATCAAAAGACCACTTTGAGTCCTTACCAACTACTCAAGTTGTTCAGTGGCATATTGTGCTAGTTTCTGAAACCTTTGTGTCCGAAATCATCTCTTGTGACCTTTCTTGGTTGTGTAGTTTCCAACGGAAAGCCTGTTGACACCATAGTTGAACAGTTTTAAAAGTAATCAGCTGTGAAAAATGTCACAATGGAGTGTGCAGTTTGCAAACCATTTGCAAGTTGGTCATATTGTTTTACAGCATATACATATATATACGAATTATTCGACTTGAATTCCATAAAATGACAAAGCCTATTCAAGGTATGCCCATGTATTTAAAAAAAAAATACAATGCATACCGTTTCTGAACGTTGTTTGTTAAACAGTTCTAAATTTTTTTGTACTGAATCCAAGTGTTGTTCATGTTCATCAATTCCACTAAGCCATGAATGATTCAGAAGATGCGGTGTTATTATTCTCATTTGTGGATCAACCACTAAAAGTTTTTTGACAGCATCTTGGGCATTCAGACTGATCATTTGCCATGGGTCAGATTTATAATCAACATCACAGTGAAGTATAGCACAATATAAATCACTGCCGGTTTTTGATTGATAAGGATCATTTCCAGATAGCCTAGTTAAAGAAGTGTTTTGAAATATTTTAACAAAATTTGAACTACTCATGAGTAGGTGTATTGAAATAAAATATTTTTTATGATGTCATGTCAGTGTTGAGAAATATTGTGAATACTGAGGTCTGATTTTACAGGAGTCTGTATCTCAAGTATTATAGTGAATTGTACTGGTTGGTATGAGAAATATCGTTCCTATCTCAGGTCGTACATTTGTCCCTATTGATAAGTCATCTGCCAGATCTATAGACTTATCAGTGGTCCTAAGGCAGATGCCAATCCATAATCGAAACTCCTGTGACACCAACAAACTTTTCATAAACCTCCACATCAAGCAGCTTAATGAAAGAATTGTTGAAATAATATGTTTGTTTGGTAACACTTCCATAAGACTACATAAGTGTTAAAACTAGTCGCATCAACACATTTAAACGACTAATTATGCTGGTTGTAAAAAGGGTAGTTTATGAACCAGCCATAGGTAAACAGATGCAAGAAAAGCAGCGACTCATGAAATAACTGTATAATATTGTTATTGACATTGAGCATACAAGTAAGTGTGTATCTTCTGACCAGATCCAAGAGAAATTACAAGCAGACACGCAGACAACATCAGTGTAGAACCTTACACACAACTGCATCGGTTCAAGTTGCCACACTTCACAGTAGCATACAAAGAGTGATATCAAAAAAGTTGTATGAGAGAATAAATAATCAGAAGATAATGATTAGCGCAAATACTTAAGCTCCAGTGGATGCCAATGAGTGAATACATCTGTGTCGTTGTGACCGATGACCATCAGTGTCACCAAGAGTCTCTTGTCATTGATTCTTGTTAAAACGATGACCGCAGACAGGCGGCCTATGCCTATCTAAATAGCTCAAACAATCAGAAACTTTACGGGCTGGTGCTACATCTTGGTCTTGCCACCCTGAGCTTTCCTTTAACAAAATCCTATCCCAACTCTGCTAACGTTACACACTGAGGTAGATCATGGCTAGATGTGTGCATATGTCCAAAACATTTCAGTTGGTGAAATTTCACAATCTAATCAATTGACTTTTCTTGGTTGTTTAGTATCCTTCGAATTACCTTCACATCCCCCACATTAAGGAGCAGTGCAGCAAAGACACCTGTGGTTAAAATGATGCAAGCTCTCCATAGTTTATTTTCAGTAGCCAGTTAACTCAACTGCATAACAAGGCAGAATTGATTGAGGCGCAGTATACTCGTTACTTCATAGATGATTGGATACCTCAGTGAAGTCAGAGATGAAGTTACTTGGTAAATGCTGAGCCGATGTTTTACATCTGAGCTGAACTTTTGTCAATAACCAACTGACTTCAGTTCATGTAACTTCCCAAGTAAGTGAAGTTGATAGTCGTTGGATAATCTAGGAGTAAACCGGTTCAAAGTTAACACTAACAGCAAAGAAACATTCGATACTTCTCATTTTTGAACATCTTATTACGCGATGCATAAAGTTTTCTCTCGTTGGGTGAAATCCTCTTAATTGTCGATAACAATTTTATCCTCATTCTGACTCTTTCTCTCATTCAAATAGATGAAAATTATGATGGAGAATACCAATACAACTAATATTTCCACAATACATTTCTAAGCTGAATAATCAACGACAACACCAAAGCTTCATGGGACCGATTTATGCTTTGACTAAAAACTTCAGAACCCGGTCACCAGCAGGGCAGAGAAGAAAACAATATTAGTACATTAAAAAAGTAGAATCTAAGCAATTTTACAGAGTACACTTTCATATAATTATCACTTTGACTATTTGAGATAGTCGTGGTTTCTCAGACTTATATTACTGATACTGGCTGATGACTGAAAGTGAATTGAAATCTGGCCCACCACAGATGGATCTCATAGTTCAGCCAGTAGAGTACCTAACCAGTAATCTCGAGGCCACTAGTTTGAATCCTACCGCCGTCGAGATCTTCATTTCTCTTTTATTCATCATCCATTATCAATTCCATTTCAGTTTAAGTATTTTACGCAACACACACTGCTACAGTATTATTCGCTGGATGACCTTCATGTGATCATGCTATAACATTATTCAATAAAATGATCCTATATCTTATCTAAAGTCACTACTAATTTACTGACATTCAAACTTATCATGTTTGCGAATGAAAATATTTACGTTTTGATAGTTTGAATGACTGACCTTGAAGTGGACCACTGAGTGTAGGAGCAGTATACCGAGAAATTGAAATTTTCCCACTGACCTTGATTTACTTGTAGAAGCAATGAGGCATAATTTAAATTGTGTCAGACACTATATTAATCTCAATCAATTCTAGCAAATATTATTGGCATAGTTAGCTATACTGCTGACTATCTGAGCCGCTGTTTCACAGACTAGTATTCATACTGGATGGTGATTGAAGGTGGTCACTAGCTGGAAACCGGCCACAGTTCGAATTTTCATTTCACCTTCAATCATCACCCACTATCAGTAACTAACTACAGTCTATAAGAAATGTTATTTACACTGAATGACTACTAGCGTCATCTTTTTTCCGTTTGACGTTAGCAAAAGAATTTTTTCAATTCCAAAACACAATTATCACTTGATTGCTCTTGGCAGTGACCGGTAGTAATGTCGAGGAAGAATATTTTACTTTACTTATGACTTGTTATTTAGACATAACTAAGTAGGCAGTGGTGCTTCTAATGAGGATCAAACCCAGTAAAAGTAGATTTGAACGTTTCCTTATAACATCATTTCTAATCAGATACCTTTAATCTTTGCCATACAATAAACGTTCAACTGACCAAATGTAAGAGTAGAACTGGTTTTCTTTTCTCTTTCTCCTCAGTCTCGAAACCTCTAACTGATGAAGTTTCTTAGAGGGATAGTGAAACGTTTACCATCAAATGCTAAATGACACGTAGTACTTAATGGATTCTTTGCTGATCAGTTCACCTAATTATTGAATCACAGTCACTAATCCACGCAATTCCAGTTGATGGACAGTACTTTTGAGTATGAACGTTATTCTTGCTTAAGTTGTCATTCATATTGTCGTATTATTATTTGATACTTTCCGTACTTCCGGAAGTGATTTGTTGACATCGACAGGCTTTTTCCACTTAAGCAGTTTATTTACACAGTAGGTTCCTTTCTCTCCTTGGTTATCCATTGATCCTTTCACTTTCATAGAAAATTTTCGAAACTTTCCTTTGAGAAGTGGACTCGGTCGAATGTGACTTTTTGTCTGTTATATTCATCTTGGTGACTAGCAATGGAATTCGGAAGGCACATTTTGTCCATTTTGGAGCTCGTCAGTTGGATGTGCCTGCAAGATGGTCACCTTTAGTGTAACAGGTATCAGTTGTTGTTGTAATTTCTCAGTGGCCTAGTGGGTAAATCTTTGTCATTTGAAGAAAGGAGTATTGTGTTAGTCTCAGTGAAAACAACATCATTCACTCGGATGCAGGTAAATCCAGCTGACGAGTCCAAAATGGGACGAAATGCACGTACTGAATACCACTGATAGTCACCAGGATGAATATAACATCATGAATATCCGGAAGCATCGGGGCCTCCACATAGGCGCCCATCTACCAACAGGGGTCGAGCCATTCGGTCGTGTATGACAACCGGATTTTTGTCTGCTTTAATCATCTTTGTCATTATAGTACACTCAGTTTCAATGACTCTAGGATATCACTTTTATGGTACCAGGTCAATTTTTTGCAAAATACCCAACCTGAGGAGAGAATAGTACATTTATGTGAGATCAAAATGTTAATTTTCCTCGTGGTCATCTTCAGAAAAAAAGTATTCGCATCATAATGTGCAAACTGTCTAATATAACTAACTACACTGAGATTTTGAGAGTGAAATCTGAACGACTAGAATTATTTATTTGATACACTACTACTTGATTGACATCTCCAACAAAAATTATTATTCATAAGCATAACAATGTAATCACACTTTCGATATCTAGTTTTCATAGTCCTATTACCTTATGTGCCTTGTTTTTGTGGTATTAAAACTATCCACATCTCCTACCAAGGTCCGGCATCATTCCTATTGCATATGTTGGGTGTTGATTCGAGGAACAAAGACCCGATAATCAATCTCTATCTCTGTCTCCACCCAACTATATATGACATAAGTACAGTTGTTTTGCCCCACTCTATTGTACAGCCGAATATCAGTGAATGCACTGTAATAGCCTCGTTATTTTCTAGATTATTGATTTTATTGGGGCCAGTCACGCTACATTTAGCTAACTTCTCCTACTCTGATGATCTAACTGGTTCCAAATAGGCATGGTTTGACCTCTGTGTTTGATCTTATAATCACTACATGGTATTCGGTAAATCAAATTATTTGTGATCATGAGCACTAAGTTATGCTCGAAACGCAATCAAGTAAGTGATACTGTGTCCCTAAGTGCTGCATCAAATAAATAAAAGTAATATGGCATTACACTCTACCACAATGCACAGGTTTAACTCTTATGCTGATACATACTACTGACTAATTGATGAGTAGTTGTAGACCACCCAAACGATCTTAATAGTGAGTGGCCATTTCACCTGACTTCAAAGAAGTGTCTATTGTTTAAATTATGTTTCATGATTATGTGAGTAAGACAGCAGCATAAATCGTACGGCTACTAATATTTCGCATAACATATAGTCTGGACGTAAACTACGCAGAGCAAATCTTACATTAAATCAAGATAATTTAAAATATCTGACTTTTTGACAAAATACCTCAACACCACTCACATAATATAAAGTAGTATACCCAGGGCCCATAAATCGATTGGTTTATCATATCGTCTACTCAATAATAATTCAGGTGCACAGAATGTTGTCATAAAGCATACCAATTCTATATCCAAATCTTCAGTTGTAAATAACTGAGGTGAGTAATCAGCTAAAAAGGGTACATAAAGAAGAAAAGTATGAACATGTTCATGTAAATATAAATGTGATCAACACATTGAGAGGTGGATAACAGTATTCCTTACTTTCTTTACACATGATAGTGTCTAACAGTGGAATCCATAGGAAGCATTTCGTCCCTATCATGACTCATCATCCCAATGTGTATGAATCAGTGGGGATATTAAGTACGGGAGGTAAAATGTGCAGATCCAAGAGCCAAAGTGTAATCCATTCAGCTACCGGATCACGACAGTGACAATTCTTCAATTATTTTACTTACTGGTCTGAAAGACTTCACTCAGTGACATCTATTGAGATACAAAGTAAATATAAGGGAACTTCAATACTATTTGTCATGAGATTTTGGTTGCTGTGGGCTGTAACTGGCAGTGAAATTCGGGAAGGGAAGTTTGCATTATTTGGAACTCGTCACCTGGATATTCTTTAATTTAAATGTAAAACATGGGCACTGTGGTAGAATGTAATTTCATATTAGATTTACTTATCTGATATATATCGCGTAGTGATGCAGCATAGCATAAATTATTGCTCATAATCATATCGATGTAATCACACTCCTTTCGATATCTGAATTTTATAGCCCTGTCACCCACTTCAAATTCTTTGTTTCTGTTGGTAGTAAAACTCTTCGCATCTCTGATATAGGTGTTGCGTCATTCCCATTACATGTGTTGGGTGTCGATTCGATAAACAAGGATTCAGTAATCAGTCTCTCCGCCAAATTATACTGGACTTAAGTACATCGGCTTTACCCGACTCTATTATATGATTGTGTGTTAATACCTCCATTGCAATAGCCTAGTGTCGTCCTAGATTATGGATCTTATTTGGGTCCGTCATTCTATATTAACTGGTCCCGATTAGCTAGTTTGACCGATGTATTTGGCCTCACATTTACTGCATGGAATTTTGTAGACTGCATTATTCCGCTTAATTGGATCTATCGGATCCTTAGGCCGACAAAGTTTGTCTCAGAGTGAGTTGGTAGGTTTAAAATTCAACCTAATTCCAGACTTATTGAAAATCCTACTTAAAATTTCTGATTTTCTTTCCTTATACGTTAACACAATAACGCTTTGAACTGATTTCTACTCATGTTCTCGCTATTATTCGTATTCGTATAACTGTTATCATTTTGCTTCATATGTTTCAATAAATTTCTGAATAAACGGTAGACGATAATTATAAATTATTAGCGCTTCTTTTACGTGTTTCAACTGTTTTTTTAAGTCCTTACAATGACCAGTCAGTTTTCTAGCTCTATCATTTAGACATTTGACTGAACCCGCCTTAACTGACATTGGATGAGGTGACCTGAAGTCTAGATACCGGTTAGAATGTGTTGGTTTCTTGTAGATGCCAGTATCCAAACCACGATCTGTCCTCTGTTTTATTCTGCGATCAAACAATTAGTTCTCCTTTTCCAGTTTCTGTCTCGTAAGTGAATTGGACTACGTTAACTACTGAGTTTATATGTATGAGGAAACCGTCTATTTGTTCCGGTTTCAAAACAGTAAATGTGTCATCCATATATCGCCACCGTAACTAAGCTGCAGGATAATACTTTTGTGAAGCCATGCTTTCCCAAATATCTATAAATATATCTGCTGCGATTGGAGATATTAGTGATCCCATTGCCATTCTTTCTGTCTGTCTATATATTTTTTCTTGAATCTTGAACACTGTGAAGGTCAAACACAACTGTACGCCTAATATGACTTCATTAACGGACATCTCAGTTCAATAAGTAAGTTTTGAGTAGGTATTTGGTTGATTTCTGACTACAGTAGCAACGTATACCCGTTGAACAACCGATAGAAGTGGGAATCCAGTAGCTTTGGGGAATGGCTTGTGACATGTTAAATGATTAGTAGTGAGTTTGAATTTCAAACAGAACACCGACAATTCAGCACCAGTGCATTCAGCTGAGAAGTTTCAAAGAGAAAGGAATTCGTGTCTTAAACTGTTGGTTAAATAACGTCAGATACAGTTGAATAGAGTGCCAACTACTCCTTAGAAGCGCTGAATATGCTAAGAGTAAATGACCATTTTAGCCTAAGACAAAGCCAACAATAACATGTGGGTTTAAGCTATAATTGTCATAATGGAGCTTTATTTCCCCTACAAGAGCACTCGTCATTGTAATGACTGAATCAAATATTTTCTTTTGCGTTTACGAATTATAGTTTTTGGAAAGTTAAATGATCCGAAGATGAGTCATCAATGAGTTGTAAGACTTCTGATCGCGTTCACCGCCAGAATTGAAGGCCTTGAGTTCGATCCCTGGCAGGGTCGTGATTCCCAGCCACGTAAGTTGTCCATACTAGGATGAAACAGTTGATCAGCAATCCCAAGTTTTCAGTAGTTCTCCAACTGATTTTAGTCTGTGATGAATACTACCTTAAAAATAGATCCTCACAAACCTAACAGTACATTATTATTTCATGAAGAAAATGGGGTAAAGAGATCTCAATAACTGTAGTTCGACTATATAATTCGGATATGAACTGTTCAACACAGGGAATTAGACCTCGATCAAGAATATTCAGAGCTATGTGTGTGGACACTTGCATCGAATCCTCATCTGAGTTGAGGTTTGTTTGGCAAAAGTCTTGGTCAGTGAATAACTGATGAGAAATTTATCGAACAGATTCAGAAACCAACTCACTCCGAACATATTAAACTTTATAGGTACATTTTAAAATTGCTAAAGAATTGGCATTGTTTTAGTGTTCAGATTTACAATGATGTTATTGATAATTACTTCGGTATTATTGCTTGTAATTCCCTATCATTGATCGGACCACATTGGTCAGCCTCTATTGGCTTATTGGCTCCTGAGTGGATATCTCGATGTTGTCAGTAATTTCAGTTCTATAGTGATAGTAGTGGGATTTAAGACGCGTGTTTGGTCCTATTTGAGACTCTTCAGCTGGATGTACCTGCCTCCTAGTGAGTGATGTTGCCCCCACTGAGACTCGAACCCAGGATTCAATGGTCTATTAGGTAACACGCTGGATTTCTCTGCTAGCCACTATCCATCAACACTATGAAACTAATAACTACGTTTCGTGATTCTTATGAAAGCACCAGTGTGACTGCACTCGGAACAATCGTGTAAAATAATATAATTCCATTCATCGACAAAAGTAGTTGTCATCTTGTTGGTAAACAACTGAAGAACATGAATTGGTCATTGGTAAGGATCTAATGGCCAGTGCAAAGTGCTTAACACTGATCTAAGTTCTTCGATGAAATTTACAATGTGACGTGACATTGCTGTGCGCTATGTTTTGGTGTTAGATGTTAGAAGTCAGTGGGCAGTGCCCAGCACTAGGAACTAGAAAGCTATATCCTTTAACCAATGGTTAACAGCTTGTGTAAAATAAACCATACTTGTATGGGGTTAATCTTGGTATGACTAGCCTAACGATGAAGTGGATCACTCCAGCACTAAGGGAGGCAGTTTTGAATCATTTAAGGACACTAATTTTTCTTGTACGCCAATATCATTCACTGATGAGTACCGACTGACAAGCCACCAAGATTCAAGATTTCCCATAGATTTACTCTTAACATTTAACATCAGCAGATTTTAGTCTAATCACCAATATCAATGAAAAACATTTAGGCATACTTCTAAACTTCAATAACTGTATAACACAAAAGTCTTGAGTGTATCTCTAAGATCATGACGACAGTTTCATAAGCATACCAAGAATATTGTTAGCTATTGACATACTTGTTATTCTCCGTTGTTTTGTTGGATCGAATTGTTTGACCTCTATTGGCATATGGGCTCCAATGCGTATGCCTCGATATTGCCTGAATATTAATTATGATAACTTGGTTGCACAAGAAGTGGCTATCACCCCTCCGTGGCATAGTGGGTAACGCCTTGGCGTTTGAAGCGATGGGTAGGGGGTCCTAGTCCCGATGGGAACCCCATTCATGGGATGCCTGTACGTCCAGCTGACGAGTCCCTGATAGGACAGAACGTTCTTCCTGGACTCTTCTGCTAGCCGCAACCAATCGAGTTATACCAAGAATAAATAATGATAATACCTGCAATATTATGCTTTGAATATTTAAATTTGATTAAAAAGAAGAAATCACTTCATAATACCTCATAATAACAAGTAAGCATGATTGTACAACGTGATCAATAAGTTAAAGGTTCTTAATACTTACTAATTTTCACAATGGCATCATTTTCTCGTGAACTGAGCAATATATTTTCAGGCTATAAAAATTTTGTAACATAAATGAATACAGTGATTAGTGAATCAAATGGAATTTTCTGAGAAGTAGTTTTATCAGAAATCAAGACATTTCGAGTTGTCAAAATATGGGAAGTAATGATCAACTGTTTTGCCTAATTCACTTATTCATCGAAAGGTTATATGTGATCCACCTTAAGTAGATGTCTGTCATCCTTGTCAAACTACTCGCCAAGACGGCCAAGACCGTCTTCAGTGATCCATTTTTTAGACCAGAAATCATAATGACAAGTAATATTCCGTGATATGGGCAACTCAAAAGTGTCAGCCACTCTCATACCACTGTCAGCACTCATGTTCCTTCTGCATTCAGGGACGTTCGACACAGTTCAACCAAAGCTCATCACGCCACTTTACCTAGAAGTGTCAAAGTTTGCACAGATTATTTTGATTTAAAAGAATTTACTAATCATTGATCAAGAGCTCTCATGTAAATTTCCTGGAACCTTAAGCTTCTAGTTTTATTCCAAAGAGAAGTCACACGTTTTTACAAATAAGGAGTCATCATGCAGGAGTTGTTGCCGTAGCTTACATGCATGCTTGAATTTATTGTACTTATGTTTAGCTTAATCGAACAGTGGGTCGGGTAGTCGAATCTGTACTTTAGCTTAATTTTGACATGATAAATTGCTACACTGACTATGACTCTTTTGAGAAAAGAATTCCCCCCCATATTTGCATACCACAGTGTCAGCGTGAAGAAACTCTATACGGCGCATTGAGGTCATGTGGGTGTTTGAGCTGCTAGCCATGAAAACCGGAGATGATATATGTGGTGGTGACTACTGGTCGAGTCTAGTTACGCAACGATGGTGAGCCTCCTCATGACCCCACCGGATTTGAACCAATGCGATAGCATAGTTTAATTTGTTGTGATAGCGGTCAACGAGATCCGTATGTGCTGATCAATGGCTGGCGTGTCCAAAGCACAGACGGGCTAGCTGACCGTCAGGATTCCGACCAGTACGCTAGAGTAGTGCAGCTGAAAGGTATGGGAATCTTGATTCCTGATTCCGATTGTTGAAGCAGCCCTAAGAGAAGTGGTGTGGTCAGCCTTGTGAAGGTGATCGGTATTTGGTCCGGAATACCAGAAGTTATTTGCCCTAGCCTTGGGTGCATAAGTAGCCTGGGAGTATTCACTGAAGTTGAATCACTACGGTGAGAAGGGGATAGTCTCCCAGGAAGCTGCAAGACTGTGGTGAGTGAGTGAGTAAGTGAGTGGGATATATCTCACGCACGTCTGCCCACGAGGAGTTGAGTACGGTCAAATGATCCGATCACTCAGCAAATGTGGATAGGTTGAAGCTCAACATTTGGGAGACTTCTGGAATAAAAATGACCGCTTTTAAGGAAGCGTTAACAGAGTGCTCTGGATGCGTTACAATGATATTTACTGCTCAGTGAGATTACTGATTCCTCCAGGGTTTCGGATAATGACGTCCAAGCTGGCGACATCCGACCTAGAAATGCGAACTGAACCGGAAATCGGGGTAAAACTGTTTTTCAACTTAACTAAACACTAGACCGGGCGGCACTTTAGCTTATTATTGACTCATAACGATCAATAGATGATATTTCTATTTGCTAAAATGAATGAAACCAGTCAAGCAGACTGCCAACCCACTGACTGTTTACATTCCCATCAATATCCAGACAGACAAATACAACGGCAACAGGTGAGAAACAATAATGAATTAGAACAGAAAATACAAAAGTATCACCGAGATAAAATAGTTATAAGCTATTATTCAAATAGCCAACAGTCAAGCAAAAGTAATTTGAAGGTCAGTAGGTAGCCAATAGGTTTCTCCTTATAAATGAAAGGCTTGGTTATATCTCACAAATGCAGGAGTCAGCTGCTCAGAAACTTCATAAAACATTTTACAACTTTTTACTGTCCTGTTACTACAGTTGCTCAATCATTTGATGACAGTATGCTTCAGAAAACCAGTGTGTGAAATCCCTAACTCCTGGTCTGAGTCGTGTGGATAGGTGTGGACTGCTAGGGTCCCCAATATAACACGATTCAGTGGTTGTGGACTTTTAGTGACATGAATGAAAATCAGTCACAACGGAGCAGATATATTCACTCCATGACGTCTGCTAAAGCTTGAATGTTTTCCCTTACCTTGATCTTTAAACTGTTTCTCCTCCCATACATGTCTGTCTACTACGATACCAGCTTTTTCTTATCTGTCTATTCTTTGTACACGGCTGTTAAATGTGGCGAACCGAATAAATGCACTTGTGTACGAGAATTTATTTTGAGTCTATCTGTCTGTTTGTCTTTGAAAGATGACTGACTCTAACTCTTATGTATACGGTTGACATATAACCGTTTTCTTCATGAAGTGTTTTCCAATTCTTACCGTCTGCTGAACTTCAAATAGATTGGAAAAATCTTTGATGAATACTACAGTTGTACAGTAAATCAAAAAGCAATTTAACCTGATCATTAACGCCAGATTTGACTTCATTTGATAAATGGGTCAGAAATTTAAATAATATACGTAGAATTAAGTTTGACAGCTTCATCAATAAGTAAATAAGTGTCGACGTGAGACATATCACTATTACGTAACGCTCCAGGTCATTGCACCTAACATCATCAGATACAACTACAAACCAGCACGATAAGAGATAGAGTAAAAGGGAGAAAGTTGTAGAGTTGTGGAAAGTCATATAAAGTAAAGAAGAAAGTGTAAAACAAACGGTGAAGCCTTATATGGTTACTGGGATGAAAATAAGGCTTGGCTACATTTACACAACTGTAAACAATTCTGGGCCATATCACCTAGAGTCTCAAACCATCGACTTCGGTTATCACAGGGACCCCACCCGTAAGTGGGCTTTAACCTAAAAAGTCAGCTAGGGTTAAAAACACATTTCAAAAATCCTTGGTTAGCGAAAGGCTGTATGAAGGCTTCACTTGCTACGTTGAACAAGTAGTACGCAATTTGTTATGTGTCCGATTAATTATGCTTCAGAATGAAACACTACTCCTCGAATTTAAATATTGCATTCCAATCAGGAAAGTGAATGGAATTAATGTAGAACAACAGTCTGAAGACCCAACACCACTAGCTGAAATAAAGCGCGTTGACGACAACGAAACCAATTGATTCAAACCGACGTCATTGTCAGTTATATAGAAGACAGGTGTAGAGTTTTAGGGAGGAGAAGAAAGTCAGGTAGTGACTAAACTAGCTGGGGCATGTGTTACGCATCCCTAACCACTTTCTGCCTGTCGTACAGTGTTAACTGAAGTAGGTTTAGACTGGAAAAAGGTGAGTGACTGCCAAACTAAAACGTAGCATCAGCGCATGAAATCTTTAACTACTGATATGAATCATGTTGCAAAATGTAGACTCCCCGGTTAGTGTTCGCGTGACAACCGAAATCAGTGGTTGGAAACCCTAGTTGGCATGTCTAATAATCGACCTTATTGGGGCAGATGTCTCTACACATTATCTTCATTTTCAGTGACATACTAAATTCAGTATTTTCAAATTACTTCTTGCTATCTTAGCACAACTTTCTACCAGACCAGATACAGGATTTAGGGTTATAACAGTGAAGAAAAGTGGCTGCCTGAGCAAGGTCGTTATAACACAAAGTGACCCGTTTAGATTTGTATCTGAAAAATTGAAAAAGTCGGAGACAAAACAAACGGTAGTTCTTATGGCGACAAAATCTGATTGGGGCTCCAGCATTTAGTAACATGAGAACGAAGGAATTTGTCTCGTTTTGCAAAAAACGTGATAAACAAATAACCCACCACAGTTTGTTGTGAATTTTCCCATCTATGAACTAATCAGGTGGTTAGCAGAGAAGTAAAAATTGATTAGGAATAGAGTAACCGTACACAGATTGAAGGATTCATTGCATTCCATAAAGAAATGCAGCAGTTCAAATAACTCCAACAATTTTTCTAGTGTTGTTTAGCATATAATGTTTCCTAACGTCCAGCTTGGTAAGATAGCATAGATTATATGCCAATAATCTTATCATAACCCCCCTTCTTAAATAAGGTATGAAAGGATGCTCAACGCTTTGTACAAAAGACGTCATATCCTGATTAATTAATGAACTTTATTGACATGTTGTTGGAGTAACTATAAGACGTCTATCGTCACCTATCTTGACTGATATTGAGAGTGAATTTAGAAGAAAATGGCAAGAAACTAGTAATTGAACATACAGTCTAGAGGTTTGTGGAGATTTATTGATTTCATGTTGGCACCTAACACCGACTGACATCAGTAGGAGAAACATTGGAAACCTGGAAGTACTGGATATCTGTTTCGTCCTAGTGTGGCAGCCTGCAGCAGTGCTCATCCGTGACGTTACCATTCTTTTGTGAGGTGCACAGATGATACTTTCAAAATTGATGAAGATGTGAAAAGCACGTCAAAAATAATTTGAATTTCAAACAGAGTACCATAAAATAAATTTTTTCAGTCAAATTTTAGCGTAACAACAGTTTCAATTTTCTGAATCGATACGTCAAAAGAAGATATGACAGCATTTAGATTAGAGGAGCTTCTGTCTGCCTCATGAACTAAAACAACAGTTAACTCGATCACTGTGTTTAGATGTCGAAAATGTCTCTCCTTTGAGTTGATTCCTCTAACCACTATCCACCACTATTATGGAACTGAAATTCAGGTGTGTATGCACGAATAACAGGTGGATCAATTTGGTTCAGTTAATAAGCTTTAATATTCTCCCATTTGATCTATTTTCCCTCTTAAGCTAATGAGTAGGTGTAACAACCTAGAGCAGTGCAGTGATGTAGCAGTGATAAGAAGTGGTCAAAAGTGGAAATCAATATTCAGGGTCACCAGCCGTTGGGGTAGAAGTGTTTTTGTGTTATTCCTTGTATTATACCGTCGTTGATTGGACCGAATTGATCGGTCTCTATTGGCATTTGGGCTCCTGTGCGGATGCCTCGATATACCTGTGTTCTAGTTATAGTAAAGATGGATAGTGGCTGGTAGTGGAATCCAGGATGCACATTTCGTCCAATTCGGGACTCGTCAGCTAGATGTACCTGCCTCCCAGTGAATGGATAACGCTCTGGCGTCTGAAGCGATAGCTCCCGAGTCCAAATCCCGGTGGGAACAACATCACTCACTGGGAGGCAGGTACATCCAGCTGACGAGTCCCAAATAGGACGAAATGCCCATCCTGGACTCCACTGCTAGCCAATATCCGTCTTTACTAGAACTATTTTTTGTTTCAGATTTTGATTTATGTCTGTATATGGACAGAGTAACCTCATTGAACGACTCTGCAGCCAATAAGATTGTGTTGTTCTGTCTTTTGCCCAGGATACCTTTTATTTGTGTAAGAAATGTATATATACGCTATAGTTAATCGAAAAAAGTTGTCGTCCTTGCAGTCGTAAGTCGACCTTTGTCTTTTGATAGTTGCGTGACTCAGTGAAGAATAAGGTGATGAGGGGGAGTAGTAGTATTGGCATTCAGTTCTAGTGTACCACTGCTTTCAGTATCGTTATTACCTTCATCTTATTTCACTCGGTGACTTCAAGCAGATTATCTGTCGCTTAGGTAGTCAACCTACGTTTCCGCCACTCTACCCCTTTATCTTTCTGATTATTTCACAAACTAGTAGGTTATCTCTTGAATTTATAACGTTGAAAGTAGCTTCAACCCATAAGTGAAACTAACTGTCATGTTATAAATAGACCACATACTTTGGTTTTTTTAAAAACAAATATACACCAACTTATGTTGTAAAGATTAGTGTATGTCATGCTTAATACCATCAGCAACAAAAAACGACATGTAGACATACTTTTAAATTTCTGTGAATAATTCCATATTCATGTAAATACCTGATGCCATTTACTATCTGTCTAAAATAATTAACGATGATTTTTTCATTGTACACAGGAAATTTAGTTAATCTAGGCGGAAAGAAAGTAAATTTTAAAAAGTTAAGCATAAATTGAATTGCATATTGAACACATTGAATACGAACTTTCATTGTTTCATAACCATCCAATCACGTAAATGACCAAAGGTATCTATTACACTTACTTGATTTACCGAAAAGTAACAAAACAGATTATGTAGAAGTTGGCTGGGAAACATTCAATCTCATCAAGTCATTGTTTTAAAATATGACTTAAATTGTGGTAGTTTACATTAGTCCACATTTATAGAATCCGTACGAAATATACTACTGATTGATATGAGTAGTTGTAGACTGCTTATGTCGATTAGTAGTGTTCGCCATCCAGATCATAGTGGCTTAGACAGCAGACAGATATTCCTCTCATTTGAGAATAAGATCGTCAAAAGTGGGCTCAGCTTGTCTATTTACTAATAAATGGAACAGCTAAGCAGTGAAGTTATCCTCAAGAAGACAAAATATTAAAACTTCTGTTACCAACACATTACTTGAATGGGAAACGTAGGCCGTGATTCTTCCTTCCTTTGTAGCGAGGAAGTAATCAAGTTAATTAGGCGTTTCGTGAGGAGTGATTGGTTTTTGAGTGTTTTACTTCAAGAATTGACACCATACTGAGAAACACTAAAAACAGGACAGCTGTATCGTCCTACATTAGGAATCCTCAGTAGTTTGTACCCTTGAATCTATGAGGAAAAACGCCCAATTTGAGAGTGAAGACGGATCTCAACCAATGATGTTGCCTCGTGGATTGATAGGCGTCAAGACAAAATGGTTGCCTGCTCACCACGAGGTCTGGTCGTTTAGGCTTCGATCTCTGACACGGTCGTGGGTACACGTCTCTAAGGGGTTGCCATCTGGGAAGATATAGCTATACAATGCTTCAAGGTTTTCAGTGATCCTCCCAATGATGTCAGTTGGTGATGAAAACCACCTTGGAACCACTAAGTAAAAAATCTTGGTCGTTAGGTTTGACTGAGTTAAGGTGCTAGGTTTGTATCATATGAATGATGATGTTAACTGTAAAATATATGGCCTTTAAAATTGTCACGTGAGTATGAATTTCCACACACCTTACTGTCTGAATATAGCCGTATGTCCTTGTGCCTCCCTAAACTTAGGAGTCATCAAGATAAATGAACAGAAGACGAGGAATTCGCAACTCTGGTAGAATCGGAAAATCGTATCGGGGTTGAGTGACATAAAAATGAAATTCAGACCACTGATTACAGTGCAGAGAATACGTTTTAATATCTTATAGAAAGACTTAACTAACTCTACAGAGGACTCTGTTGAGGTAACGTGTTGTGGTAATGTCTTACTATGAAAGGAGTACCCAGAAAGTACATAACTCTATTCAAAGTTCTCTACTCAAAATCACGCAGGCGTGTAGGGGAATTGTCTTCGTCAGGGATGTCCACTGTCACCGTTCCCATTTAACTTCGCTAAAGACGTACTAATGGACATAACCCTAGATACATCTGACTTCACAGGGATTGATCTAATCCACTGAGGTCATCTGATTGACTTAGGGTATGCAGAGAGTTTTCTTCTACTATAATATAGACACTTACAAAATGCAGGGTCTTCTGAACGCATTGAGTGGAAATCTGAGTGTATTTGGCCTGCGCTTCGCAGCTGTCAAATGTAAGATGATGCACCAGGACTGGTCTGCTGCAAGCAATCCCAGTTTACTGATGGGGAACGAAGTGGTGGCACATGTCGACCATTTCGCTTGTTGGGGGAATAGCATCAGCCCGTCCAGGATGGTTGCTGACGAGATCTCAGGATAGATAGAGAAGGGTCGTTTCGCACTTGACAACTTGCGTCATTTCTGGCAGTGACTAGCGAGATATCTGACTATGTATCAAAAAACAAGTATACTGCGGTGCAATCTATTCTGTCCTCTTGTACGGCTATGAGACGTGGTCGCCGAAAGTAGAAGACATGAAACGATTATAGGGTTTTGAACACAGATATCTTTGTAGCATTGATGGCGTTTAGTGGAATCACCATATGAGTAACGTTGAAGTCAGATGAAGGGCACTTGGCAAGACAGGCAAGTTCATTGGTGAGGTTATGAACCTTCATTGGTTGAGATGGCTTGTACGTGTACTATGTATGCCAATCCGCCTTCTATCTCCACATGCGATACTACAGGAGCTGGTTGCAGGAGGGTTTAGGGTGGCCAGACCAAGATGTCTCACCAGTCGATGAAGTCCCTGACTGTTAGTTTGAGCTGTGGTGAGAGATGTAGACTACCTAGGTGGGGTTCCAGATACTACAGAAATCAATGGTTGAAGACTCTTGGTGACATGGGTGAAAACTAGTCACAGTGGCACGTATGTATTCACTCTGTGACATCTAAAGCTTTAATATTTGCACTAACCTTAATCTTCGGATTGTTGATTCTCTATACTACTTTATCCTTTTAATATCTCTCTTTTTCTACCCACCTCTTCTCTGCATTGTGCTGTAAGGTTTGGCGACTTGAGCCCATGTACCTGCCGGCTAGGTTCTACACTGGTTTGACAGTATCTATTGAATTTCAAGGACCAAAACATTCTTGAATTACTTATAAGCGCTGGTTTGGTTCATTACTAAGGTTAATGATCCTTACCAACTGAGGTGAAATGGTGTCTGCTTCATTCACTGAAAATCAAAATGGTTTGGATGCAAATGTTGTGGGAACAGAAAATCAACCAGAGATAGGACATTTTTTGTCATATCTAATCTTAGTTTGTGACATATCATCCTTTCAACGGATTATTGCAATGCTAATACCAATAACTGGAGTTCTTTTAGTTGGACCAAGTAACCGTGCTTTACAATGTTATCAACACTATGAAGATATATGGCTAGATGAAATTGAACCTTTATCGGGTTAAGCAAACAGTGGTTAGAAAAAGGAAATATAATAAGTGTAGAAGATCAACGGACTGAAAAAATTTCTATTTGTATATTCATTGTAATAGAAGCTTGATATCGAATTGAAGTGCATACACAAACCATGTGCACAGTCATGTAGCAGGTAGTGAGCCCTATCTATTGTGTAAGGGCTAACATAACCGCCTGGCTGCCCAAATCTTGATAGATTAAGCGGTTTCTGGCCTTGTGATCAACCGACTGAAAGTCAAGTCCCTATGTAAATGAACCACACATCCATAAGATCTTGACGTTTAGGATAAAAATATGGAACGACACTTTGAATGAATATCATACAAGAAAGTGATTACTTTAATCCTATTGGTTAAAAAATACATTGAAGTAGGAACCATTGTATACACAGAAGACGGAAGAGGATGCAAATTTAAACTTCAGGATCGTTCAAGCCATCAGTTATTATTGCACAAGAGGAATTTTGTGGACTCTACAACAGGATATCACACTCGCAATGTAGATGGTATATGGAGTCACTTAAAGTTATATTTACGACTGTATTGTGGATCTAAGGTGATTTGGAGTCACACGAATGAAGTTTTGTACTATAGCTTTTCACCTTAAGTCAGAAAATCTCAGAGAAAGTGTATTGCTTTTTTATAAATCTCACTAGAGTTATTCTGCTTGTAATTTCCTCATTTTTTAAGGAAAACATCCACTGTTACGTAGGTGATTTATAACTGCCTAGTTAACAGTGACGTAGCTTTAAGGTCATTTACACGTTACGATGACTGGTCACTGCAGAACTACCGATTTCATATTGTCGAGTCCTGAGTACTGACCGAATTTTATCAATCACTTTGGAATGTGGCCACCAAACTAGGGTCCTCACCATTGCAGTGAACTTTGGATGGATTTCAGATGACTGGAGGCTACTTACAGGACATCATGGACCTAGGTTTCGTGCATGCTGGTACTCATCAGCAAGAAATATCTACAACCTCATCGGAACCTATGTCTCACGAGGGGTTCGAACCTAAGTCACCCAGTGTTGAAGTTAGCGATACTACCATCGACTTCATCAACACAAGTTCGAGTCTCACAGAAGACATCAGTCCTTTTGAGGCTGCAGATCTGCCTTGTTGATGAGTGTTAAAAAGCAACAAACTTAGGTTCAAGGTTTTCTGACAATTACCTCCAACCAACAAGTATCATTTGCATTGTTATTCAACTCTAACATAATTTTTAGACTGTACCACAACCTTTTGCCATAAGTGTTTATCGAGATATGATCCATGACACACAGCAAACTACAAATTAACAACAAAGCCATTTAGAGGGGGGGTGAAAGAAGAGAAGAACAGTTTACTGTTATTTGACGATTGCTTTTTAACAAAAAGGTATAAAAATAATCATTAATACATCGGAAAAAGGCTTATTAAAATAATTATTGAAGGCAGAGTATCTTTCAAAATGAATAAGATAATTTGCTTAAATATATTTGACCAAAATTTAATATTACTTTCCTCTGGTTCGTTATATCAGTTTGGATCATGCAAACGAAGCATTAACTGGTGGATTACCTTCGTGACAAATAAAACCAAAATAGATGGATGTCTACTATCTGAGAGATCCCTGCGAAAAATCTTAGAAAGGTCTACAAACATGGGAATCATAGTCAATTAGCTCATGGATCATCTCCTATTTCTAATATACACCCATATTATATACTTCAAATGTTCATTTAGCCTCATTCAGTTAGCATTAGTGAATCAATATCTTAGAAAGTAATCAAAGATAATTTATTCTAACTTATTTATTTATTCAGTTTTTGTGCATATTACAGTCTTTTCAACTTATTAAAATTTTATAAGAATAGCACGCATATGTAGTTAGTCTCTGAGAAGATTTCAAGTCAGTACATTGCATTTTACATATTAGTATTCTCATTTGCTTCAAAACCCCAAATTCACAGGTATAGAAGTCACTATTTAATTTATATACTTACTAAAACAGTAAGCTGAAGGAACTTTCTGCTCATTTGTAGCTCATTTCTTTAAGGTGTTTGCTGAAGTTGTGATACATTGTTAGTGACTTATGCGATCAACCGAATCA